AACAGCAGGTAGAGAAGCAATGGAAGTAGAGGCCAATATGCAACCAATCGACCTCCGAATGGAAGAAATCTCAGTCCGAGAAATAGCAAAAATCCAATCAAAAAAACATAGCCGAACCAATCAAACAACAGATGGAGGAGTATCTTACCAACAATGATACATATGTATGACAAGAATCTCCATTTGGTAAGGCTATAAATCAAGCCATCGACATGCAAAAAACAACAAAAGTAGATATCAAAATCATAGAGCCAGAGTTTACCTACAAGGCAGGAGCATATTTTATGCTAATGAGAGCACCAAGCTACTGGAGCCGATTAGGAAGCTCGAAAAACAGAACCGCAGAACAAACTGTCCAAAGCAACAAATTGTACAAGAACTGATAGGAGAAAGCTCAGATTCAACAGTTATTGCATTCATAGATAGCTCTTGTCAGGGAAATCCAGGACCATATGGAGCAGGAGCAGTAATATATACTGAGAACCACCAAGGAACCAGCTTAACAAGACCAGTAGCTAGCAGAGGCTCAATACTCTTAGCTGAACTAGTAGCTATCCTTATGGTTTTGGAACACTGCATTTACACACTTAGAGAACAGATCACTGAAGTAAAGATTCTATCAGATAGCCAGACAGCTGTTGGCATCTTGACTCTCAACTGGAAGTCAACTAACTACATTGACACTATCACAGACATTAAAGACAGCATTGGGACACTCCTGAGAGGCGGCATACAAACTATCCTATCTAGGATCCCAAGCCATGCTAATATAGCCCGGAACGAGATAGCGGACCAGTTAGCAAAAGATGCAGCACAGGTGGCCTCAAGTCTAAATGACCAGTACAACGTCATAACAATGTCAGATGTGAGAAGTGGAGTTAGGATGTCAACAAAACTTAAATGGCAAAATAGATGGACTAGAAGTGAAACTGGAAGGCAACTACACGAATTGGTTCCTATTGTTGGTAAGGCCCATCTACCTTGATTATCCAAATCCAGTTATAGGAAGAATCATGTCGGAATTTAGAACAGGCTACAATAGACTAAATAAATAATACCGCCATCAGATAGCCCAATCCCTCACGCCATACTGCGAAAGAAGAAAGCACTGGACCCTTCCTACTTAATTGTATGAGATACCATCAGGAAAGAGAAGAAATGAAGACAGTTGGAGATACAAAACATCATAATAGATCTTCATATCCTACTAGCACCAGCAAAGAAAGAGACATACGAGAGAACAGCGGATATTATAGGAGACTGAAGAATCCCGATCCTGCGCATAAAAAATTTACCTAAGTACAGTGTGACATTACTCGGATAAACTATAGTACTAAGATGAAACAAGCAAACACAAAGAGACTAGTTGTGTCAACATATATATTGACCCTAGGATCAGGATCAGGATGCCATGTTGGTTGGATGGTGGGGATAAACACAGGGATTTTATACTAGATACTCTAATAATCATTCAACGGAAGCAGGGGCGGATCCAGGATTTTGGAAAGGGGGGGGGGCGTAGCATGTAAAAATCGCCGAGCGGAGCGAGGTGAAAATTTTTTTGGACCTTTTTTGGGCTACAAAACAAAAAATATGTGTAAAATGCACATTTTTAGTGACGGTTCCTAACGTGGGGTATGTATATTTTATAGTTAAAGTGTAAGCTTGGGTTGGACATTTTTGATGCCGCATTCTCCCCATTAGTTGTCTATTATAAAATGATTGAATGGATCTAAAGCTATGTACTAATATATTTGATGTGGGATTTGTCAGTAAAAAATGGACATGGAAAATTCTCGTTTGTTGTATGGTTAGTTAGCATAACCTCACAGATTACTTGTTGTAAACATGATATACGGCTATTCAATGAAGTTTATAATACGACCGACACGAACAAAGACAAACAAGCAATTTTTATCCAAATGTTTGGTTGAAATGTTTCACTCAACAAGGGAAGTGAGGGGTTCCGAATCAACCAACGGCTACGAATGAGTCTGAAAATCAAATTACAACGAAGTTGTGAATGACGGTCGACAAATGGAGACATAAAGGCCACACCCAGCAGGCAGGTTGCAGTTGGGCCTTGAAAAAAGTAATCAGTATATCAGTTCGGCGAAACAGACATTCCGGTCAGATATGGGATTTACATGCAAACCCCTCAAAAAAAATTACGCATGTTTTTTATTCACAATGTTCATTTAATGCTGAATAATTCTGTTGGATTTTTTTTCTTATAGCAAAAAGGGGACACGATAATTGTTTTCATTACAGATACGGCCAGAATTTTTGTTTAAGGCAAAAATCAGGGTCAGAATTTTTTCTCTAAAATATCTCAGACTGCCCTATCAAATCAAATGGTCCGTACCTAAGACTTTAAACATATCTAGAGCTTACTGACTGGGGATCATTATTCAGCAATGTTATTAATTGGCTGGGGCGTGTGGGGTTAAACATATTTTCGTAGGTAAATAATATTGCCGTGGAACTTTTTTTTTTCATGAGAGTGTAATAGAGTATTACTTTCTGTTGAGTGGAAATATGAAATAGAAGTCAATACGTTCTTGCTCAATCCTTTGTCGCTTTGAAGGTGTCATACTTGTCATCCTCCGCCTAAGCAATGTGTTGCTGTTATTTGAATTTCAAAATGACTGAGTGACGTTTCAAACGTACTGATCAACTCCACCGTAGCGAAACATATGACTGACATAATCAATAATATATTACAGTAAATACGAGCGAAAAATATCTTTATAAGTAAAGAATTGTCGCTTAAAAATTAAATACACGACCGGGAAATGGCAAAGTTCACGAAGTCAAGTCTGATTCATCATTTTACAAAAAAAAAAAAAAAAAAAGTTCAAGCAAAGGGGGGGGGGGCGTACGCCCTCTACGCCCCCCTCTGGATCCGCCACTGGGAAGTTTGATTGAAAAATAGTCCTTTCTAAAGAAGATTTTTAACAACGTGAAGACGCATACAACGGCAACGACGGACAAGTGATGAGTCATGTCTTACATGACCCATTGGGCCAGGTGAGCCTAAAATTAATCTGAAGGGCTTTACAGTTTTACATTTTCAATCGGAATCAAAGTGTCGCACATATGATAGAAAAATATACAAATTTGGTTTATATTTGTGACAATAACGTCGTTTCCTTGTATTTTATTAATGATAGCATTATCATGTCATTTATAGACGTATAACAAAATTGTTTTCTAATCGAAATGAGACATTAATTTCTACGCTTAAAGTTTTTTTTCGAGATAAACCACCAAGTGTGATTCAGAAGTAAAAGTATAGAAAGCAAAACTTTATAAATACGTATGGCCATGATATTTGTACATAAATCAGGCCGTTAGTTTTCTCGTTTAAATTTTTTCACATTCGTCATTTCGGGGCCTTTTATAGCTGACTATGCGGTATGGGTTTTACTCATTGTTGAAGGTCGTACGGTGACCTATAGTTGTTAATGTCTGTGTCATTTGGTCTCTTGTGGAGAGTTGTCTCATTGGCAATCATACTACATCTTCTTATTTTATATGGTAAGTAAAATGAACTTTAAAATAGTCAAATCAGTCTAGGAGTCAATTTTGACTAATAATTTTTTCCTTACATGATAACCATAATGAATATAAAATAGTATCTTAGTATGAAATAATATCCATAAATTAAAATCTGGTATGAAGTTTAACAACAATGCATTGTTTTGGTTAATAGTAATACTATACTATATACATAAGCTATATATACTACTGAAGTTCTACAAAATAAGAATACATAAACATTGGAAAGACTTACCTGGTCTGGAACATTAAAATCTTTGTTACCGACAAGGAATTGTATAAATCATTTCATCAACCAAAAGTTTCAACCGTTTGTTATAAAAAGTAAATCACAACTTTAAAAAATTGACATTTGATGTATGTTGACAATTATTCTACTTAAAGGATACCAGACCAGCAACATACAATATTCTGCTAAAACCATGCTCACCTGTGGGAATACTTGATTTGTTAATTGTTAAACCAGGCTATCCTGTATGCATGTTTCAAATACTACTTAGGAATATAAAATTCAGCCAGCCCTTGAACCATTATAATGCATGCTACATGTAAAGTTCTGCTCATCCTTTAATCATGTTTAGTCTATATGAATACCTAAATTACGTAAGCCCTTGAACATAGTTCTTTTACTCTCTAACCAATAATCATGTATGGGAATTTTTGAAATTCTGCTAGTCCCAAGAACTTTTGAAATTCAGCTAACTCTGAACAGTCCTCATCTGTAGAAACACTATATTTCTTACTCTTAGCCATTGAACCATGCCTACCTGTACTAATAACCATGAAAATTTTGCTAATACTTAAGCCATGCTTAACTACATGTAAACTAGAAATAATGTCAGATTCCCCAACCTCAATCTTCATAAATACAGATTCCACTTAACTCTACAATGACATAATTCCATCTTTACTAAAATACCAAACTTACATCAAACCATATGATTGAGTGAAACCTACATATGGGATCTTAACTAAACAACTTTTTAAGCATAATCTTGCTTAATTCAAACAATTGATGATGCTTAGCATCCACTGGCAAATATCATAGCATGTCAGGACAAGAACATGTTCATGAGATATGATTTTGAACCCTGCTTTGTACTAGACAGGACTAACTACACAAATATTGCAGAAATGTTTAGTAAATCCAACTGATGAACAAAAATGGCAGAGCAATTCAACTGCAGTTGTCTCAAAGTATTCTTGGTTTTCACCACAATATTTTTTCTATTAAAATGATAACTAAAAAGGCAGTGGAATGAAAATATTGACTTACCCATTCATAAAAGAAAACCTATAAACTGACTGCAAACTATCAACAAAAATAGTTTCAATATCTTAGACAAGTTATAACTTTAATTTTTGGATCACTTTTAAAATAATTTCCAAAAAATTATGTTAGTTGCCATTCAAGAATATTTGCAGAATAAATACCCAAATTCTTTTTCAAAACAGTTTATTTGGAAAAAGTATGTATGAAATGAATTGAGAGTTAATATGACGAAAAATACACATGTAAACAAAATACATTTCTGGTTGTAATAGCTCAATCATCATTATAGTGATAATGAAATCAAAACTTCAACAAAGAATTTCAAGCAGTAAATTACAGGTATTGTTACTTTTACATACTTCTGTATAGATATATATCTTTAAAAAATCAACAGAATTAATAATAAAACAATTAATCTTATTTACAATTACTTAGAATATACAACATATGAGAAGGAATTGCAATATTAGAATATTTCACTCGAAACCCTTATTAGTTACAATTAAATATAAACTGTTTTACATCATGATGCATACACTAAAACATGAACAACTTGAATGTCAAGATTTTGTAAATTTGATAAAGTATCAAAGCATGTTTTATTGATTCAAACTTGGGTAATTAAGGGGCATAAATGTTTGTGTATAAATTTAATTTCCATTTAATAATATAAAATGTTAACAGAAAGATTTGTCTCCCCTGCATGCAATGCAACTGAACAAATATCCTACTGACTTCTTATAAGAAATTACCATTAAACAGATCTAAAGCTCAAAGTCTTGTATTATCCACAATTTTTTACTCCAAAATTCAACTTGCCAGGCAGGGATGTGTGCTAATACAATGCCACAAGCAATAAGTAAGAGAAATGTCAATTCCACAATGTCCTTTTTTTTTTACATCTGCTGCCATGGTTTTTCTTGACCAGGTAGAAGGCAACCCGATTTCTTTAATTATTTTAGTTATTTGCATAATTTATATTATTATGCAATTTTAAAAGAAAATCAAGAATTTCCTGATAAGTATCAAATTGTAATGCTTCAGTACATATTTCTTTCTTCATAGCATTCAAATCATGATTGAAACTGCCTAATGATATATAAAGTCAGGAAAGTAATCGGTTATTTGTTTAGATTTGGTGTTTAAGACAGCATGCAGTTTGTCTTTTCTTTTAACTGTAAGTATTTCAAATGTTAATAAATAAATTGAATAAATTAAACAATGTTTTTACATAATGATAGCACTATTGTACATTTAAAGTAGTATGTATAGACCAAACTTGTTTGCTTTTCAATTTCCAGTTAATGATAAACACAAATTCTGTATTTGTTTTGGATGCTTTTGGTTCTCGTAAAGTGTTCAAAAATCGTTTATTAACATATTCCATCATATTTTTGATAAAGGAAAGCAGAGGACCATATATGACTTCAAACTTATCAGATTTTCACCAAGTAATGAAAAAGTTTTTGTCCTGAATTCCAATGGCCAAATAGGGTGTGCAGATTAAACATAAATGCAGATTAACCACAACTTTTTACGGTAATTTTGAACCTATATGACAGAGGAAAGGCAACACTCATGTTAAGCCTTGAGTGAGTCACAGCAAAAATTGCAGCTACCATTGGTTCTATTTTTATTATTAGATTTCATTTAGGTAAATTTTTATTCCCACCCTTCCTTCATTATGTCAAAAAATGAATTATTCATATTACTAAACCTTTCAAAATAAGCACTTTTGACTGCATATTAAAATGACAACATTCAAACTTTGAAATTGAAAGAAAAAACAAAACACTAAAAACATAAAAAAAAAATCATATTCGCAGGTTTGCTTTTTCAACATTCAAATTATTCCAATGCAAAATGGCTTACTGATGAATTTTTCATTCTTTCAAACACAAATGCATAAATTTAACAGAAAATTACATCACATAAAACTTATTATTAAAAAATAAATCTTAGTTGAAATTAAAAAAAAACAATATAAAAACAAGAAGATGTGGTATGATTTCCAATGAGACAACTATCAAAAAAGTTCATTCAGTATTCAGTGAAAGAAAAATATTTGTAAAAATTAATCCTAATATTTCAGACAATACTTTCATATCAGGTATTGGGTTTCTTTAATATCTCATTGGTTACCTTTAAAATATCATATCACAAAACTTTTCTGAGTAAGAACTAAGTAAAATCAAATAAACATATCAATTCTGATAAAAATAAAAATCTGTTAAAAAGGAATACCCTCTTTAGTTGTATCATAATATGATAATATCACATGGAAATTAAATACGACAGGACTACATGTTTAAAACAACTGAGTATATAAACAGAACCATAAACAAAATCAAAATTAAATGTAAATGTAAATTGGTTAAATGCTTCATGGTACAAATTAAAACTGGAATGTGCATATATAAATATAATTTGAGCAAAGGGTGAAGGACGTTGAATATAATGAAGCGAATATTTTGATTTTTGTTAAAAAAAAAAACACAATATTTTTTTAGTCTAATTCAACTTTTTTTAATACTGTAATAGAATTATTTATAATGTGTATTTATCTTACACAAATGTCATTGAATTTCTTCATGGTGACCTGGCATAAGTAATCAAGTCATTTTATTTTATTTTAACAAATTTATCATTATTTCCTTGGTTTTGCTTTTGCAAACACCAGAATAAGAAGGCAAATTTACCATTGATTACCAATCTCTTTCTCAAGTACCCAAAACAGTTCCATCAAATTTAGACAAAATTTGAAGGACAATACTTATTGATACAAAACTTGGAAAACATTTAATAAATGAACTGACTTTAAAAATCCTATCTAAATAAAGTTTGATATTTATAGGATCTTGTATGAGTTTTCAAAGGACTGGAACCCTGTTAATGTGTGACACATCAAGGAACAGTCAAATAAACAGTGACTAGGAATTGTGGGTAGGAATATAAATGCACATCCAAACTTATGAGTGATATCAATGTGCAATACAAATTTTGGCATATATTTTGACAAATCAACAACAATGAATTTTTGCATCAGTTGTATAAAATATCACAGAATACATATTCAAAATGCTAGAGTGTCTTCTAATTTATAACAACAGTTATTCGTTCAGATTTTTGGTTACAAAATACTGCTGGCCTTATGTTAGAACATCTGACCAAGGAAGAACTTTGTGTCGTACATAAATACTATGTAGGCTTCATGCATAATAATATTAATTCTGCAAATGTTGTAAGATATACCTCAATGAAAGAATTTCTAATTTTCAAATGCTGATATATGTCAACTAGGAGGCATTAATTTGTTTTGAGAATCATTTGTGAATGGTTTTACAATAGATGATAATAAGGGTTAGATATGGAAAGGAAATGCCATTTTATTTCATTGTAGGTATACCACAACATCTTCAACATACAAATAAAACTCATTATGTCATTTTAGGCCATTCAACAATCTTTAATTTGAAACATTTGCAGAATCTTTTCTACTTTCCTTATTTTATGAAGTCATCATTATCATAAATCAATGTCTGACTTGTGTTGATTTGGTGAGTAGAGCGAGCCTACACTTGGAACTTGTAATGTGTTTTTCTTTGTAGGTTTTCTAGTTAATGCAGTACTACTTTTAACACTAGCGCGACTTGTTGCACTTGTAGGTCTTGACGAGCTGAAAAACTGACTCAAAGCACTACTGAGTCTACGACCCAAGCTTATAATACTGTTGCCTTTTTGTGAGGTTAAAGCAGCTTCTTCTTCTTGAGATTTTTGTAATTTTGCTAGCTGTGTGATGTTACGTAAACTCTTTTGAGTTTTCCAACTTTTCCAAGCACGCTGTAATGTCTTTGCAGCCACATCTTCTTTTTTCTTCATCATAGTACTTGATGTCTTAGTTGTTTTTACTCTAGTTGGGAACGTTTCAGAGAATTTAAGTTCAAGTTCTTTTTTCAATTGCCTAAATTCTTCTGTTTCTTCAACACGCCCTAGCACATGTTTTACAAGGTTCATTAAAATATCTAAACAATGTATTTTATCACCTTCCACAATTGGAAGATCAAAGGCAACTAAAGCTATTTCATTTGGTTTTGGTATCCCTAAAGGTTCTTCAAGATCGGCAACAAAACTAGTTAAATGCTCATATTTTAAAAACTGTGATGCAAGTGGGTCATATTTTTCCCATACAACGTAGAACATATCAAAATCATCTTCAGTAATTCCCACCTCTTCCTGTTGGTGAGCTTGATTGAAATTCTCCAAAATAACAGCAATGTATGTGTTGATTATAATTAAGAAAATAATTAATATATATGAACACATGAAAAAATAAGCTAGCCATGGCGTACCACAATCACCGTTATCTTGTTTGTACAAGGTTCCATCCGGACGAGTAATGTATTGATCATTACAATCTGGAGGTTGTATTAAAAGAGGTTCTAAAATATCATTCCAACCAGCAGAAGTAGACAGTCTCAATAGTAACACAAAGCTACTGGCAAACGTCTTAAAATTCACCACATCCTCATCCAAAATTCCACCAACAATTTTCAAGTTACCAAAACTTGACATGCCAATAATAGCATATATAAACATAATTAAACACAGGAGAGCTCCGATATTTATTAAAGCTGGTAATGAAATTATCAAAGCAAACAAAAGTTTTCTTATTCCCTTAGCTGCTTTAATTAGTCTAAGCACACGTCCAATCCTAAAAACTCTCACGACACGAAGAAGTGTTGGTGAAACGGACAGACTCTCTAATATATCTTCTAGAATGATTGCTGAAATACAAAGGTTTGGATAGATTGTAAGTTAATGGTACAGCTGCATAGAGGAAATAATGCATTACTAGCAGGACTCTGTTCTGCCTGCTGCATTCAAACTAAGAGTTTCTAGGCCAGACAACCTGTGAGATTTAAGTCATTAAACAAATTCCCCTCATGTAGTACCAACAACCTTAAATACAATTCTCATCATCAGTTCATGAGATGGGAAATTTTACTACGGTATTTAGAGGAACTGGAGGACCTATTTATTAAATCAGCAATTGGCTGGGATGGGATTTAAAAGTAGTTTAGAGGATAATAACAATATTCACACTACTTCTCTCTTATTTATCTCTGAATTAACTACATCTAAATTCACATTTCACTTCATACTTCTAACACAAAACTAATAGAGAATCAATTACTTTTCAATCATAAATTTCAAGGACAGGAATTAACATGTACTAGACTTTGTTTATATTCTATGATATTTGTAAGTATATTATCAAACACAAAGGATATACTAATATCAAAAACAGCATTTGTGAAGCTAGCAAACATTACACTTCTAGAAAGTGAAAACAATATATTATTATCTACTTAAAACATCCTACTGTGACAAAAGTGCATGTCTCATCAAAATTAACTGACTTTAAAGTCAAATTGTGACTTAGTCAGAATCTACAATATATTACCTGACTCCTGTAGTATTAAAACTGAGAGAAAACTTACAGTATTAGAATATTATTTCCCTTGGTTCAAAAATTAATTCTTTGTCAAAACACTTACTGATGTTAATATCTAACATTTTCGTAAATTTTCTTAATAAGTAAGACAATATCTTTTAATGAATTTCAGTAATTTCCCAAAAGATTTCAATGTTAAAATATCAAACTAGATCAACACATTTTATTTAAGAAATTAATTTCATCAAATAATATGCAAATGAGGAGAATGTATTTCTTGGCTTTCATCCCAGTTGTCTGCCCTTATATCATGAATATATGTCTGATAAAATATTCACAAAATTACAATTGTAAATATCTAACTTTAAAGACAATTTCTATACATATCACAGTGAAACCTGTATAAACTATTGAATATTGTTCTCTTAAATTGTTTTCATCCAAACACCTGTTTTATTTGACAAATGTCTTCACATTCCCAAAAGGATTCAGTTTAGAGAGATTTCACTGTAATGTGTAATTTGAATTTTTCATTTCAATGTGTAACAACTGATATTTAAAATGTGTGTCAAGTAATATTTCCTTTTTCATGGTATATTCAATGAAATTATATCAAATGCAGTTACCTACAAAACCTACACCAAATATTGACCATATCAATAGTATCATACAATTATTTTAATTTTTTAAGTCCACTTTTCATGAATTCACAGAGCCAAAATTGTACCTTCTCCTTTGCATTATAAAGAGTACTTTTTTTCCATTATAATTATGAAATATTACTATAATAAATATTTTTGCATGAAATCAATAAATCTGAGAATGAAGAACATCAATCAAAGGACTTTTCCTTTGTCATTAATATCAGATGGAATGTCTCAGGACTTTTCCTTTGTCATTAGTATCAGATGGAATGTCTCAGGACTTTTCCTTTGTCATTAGCATTAGATGGAATGTCTCAGGATTTTCCTTTGTCATTAGCATCAGATGGAATGTCTCAGGACTTTTCCTTTGTCATTAGCATCAGATGGAATGTCTCAGGACTTTTCCTTTGTCAATAGCATCAGATGGAATGTCTCAGGACTTTTCCTTTGTCAATAGCATCAGATGGAATGTCTCAGGACTTTTCCTTTGTCATTAGCATCAGATGGAATGTCTCAGTCACATCTACCCCACATTTCATATTTCTAATTTTATAAGAAATCCTATATCAATTCTAATCTATAATCTAAATTTATACCTAGTATAGACAGCACAACAACAATAAAATCAAACACATTCCAGGGCTGTCTAAAATAATGAAGCCGCAATCCTATTATCTTGATGGCTGCTTCCAGAGTAAATACTGTTGTGAATATAATATTCATAATTTGTAAGATATCTACTACCATTTCTGACTGTTTGTAATGCTCTATGCCCATCACTATCATGTTCATGAATATTACAACCACTATACATAGATCAAACTTGGTGCTCACTGCTACATCATAAAATACACCTTGTATTGTGTTCTGAAAATAAAACAAAATGCATCTTATAAAATATGAATACAAAACAATAATTCTAAACTTGTTCACAATTCACCTACCATTTAATGTCTTTAAGTTTTTTTAGTTTTCAAGTTTTTCCTGAAAAAAAGGTTCAATTGACATAAAAAAAATACTGTGAATTAATTTATTTTCTTGGGTATCAATTTTCGTGGATTGAGGAAAACTTTAGACTTCGTTGATATTTGATTTCTTGGATTTGCATTATCTGCATACAATGCCTATATAAAATTTGTAATTTGTTGAACATTTGAATTCGTGGTTCACCTGTACCAACGAAACACACGAAAATTGGTATACAAAGAATAATAATGAATCCACAGTAGGTATACAACTTGAGTAGAAATCTTTGAATTTTCTAAATAACTTTATTGATAACAATAGGGAGATGTGGTATGATTGCCAATATGTAGGTAGTTATAAATTGAGTCAAATCCACGCTGTTAGAATTTACTGTAAGGGCTACAAAGACTTACCGGTATTAAAGATATATTACTTTTTCAATAGTTTTGTATACATAATTGTTTTAGACAAACAATAAATTCAATTCAACACACATAACCTGTTCCTTTTGTAACAGCAAATAATAAAACCATGATATACATAATTGTAATAATCAGTCAAAAATAAGGTGTAAAATATATTATTAAATTGGTTGCAATGAAATCATGTGATTTCCCAGTAAAACAAAAACCAACATATGTGAAATAAATACAATAATTTCACTCTGACATTACACAACAATGGATGTTGTCAAAACCTTGTTGATGATGATGCATCAAAACAAATTGAAAATGTGTAGAAAAAGATTTAGTTCCTTGCATTTTCTACTTTATTTCCATTAAAAAAAGTTTATGGTCAATGTAATAAAAAAATAACTAATACAATAATTCAAATATTGAAAAATATCCAACAAAAATGTGAACATAAATGTATAAAACTATATAAATATGTAAACATGCAAAATTTAGAAAAAAAAATTCTCTAGAATAACTATAAAAATGTAGAAAAGAACTTTCCAGCTTTCATCTTAAACATTTCTCCTCGGGCTGTTATAAAATAGCAAGCACTTTCTTCTGTAAGATTTGATTTTTTGGTGAAGGACAGATTTCAGCATTTCATATTCTACTGCTACTAAAGTATTGATCTCTCATGACATCTATATTACTAATATTACCGGTAATAAAACATGCTCAGCACGTCTAATTTGAACAGAAGACAAAAATCCAAAATCTTAGAATAATATTTCATTTATACATTAATCATATTACAGATGACAAGCTAAAACAACACATTTGACATCAGACATGATGACTATCTAAGTGTGGTCTAATACTCTATCTGGACTCCATACTTACCAGTAGACCAGGACCCTGTAAAGTGTATTTGGATCCAGATTTACACACACATTTCATTTTCTAAACATTTTACATGCCCTTTCAAATACTAAGTCTAATAACAAAAGCCCAATTATCAAACTGCAGCTGAACTAAAAATTTACATCGTGAAAAAATTAACATCTAGAAATAAACTTTACTGACATAAATGTCAAACTAATTACAATAAAAAATAACGTCTTTATACATTATCTGACTGACAAACTTAAAACCACTCAAACAGCAGCTGAAAATCTGACCTTCAACATAGGCTTTTAAAAAAATTGATGTTGCAAAAAACATTTTCCTCTTGATTTTTTAAAACTTTTGTCACTTAAGGACTTTAATGCAAATATTGGGAGACATAGAATAAATAGTTTTATCACAAAATGAAAAACTCGTTGTGGATAGTGTTTCTGTTAAATGACAACGAGATTCACACCTATGCTTTTACAGTACTAATGTGTCTTCAACCCATTTTTAGACCAGAAAAGTGTTTCTGTGTTCAGGAAAATTTTCTAATCAAAAGACTAAATTAATCAAGAATTTTTTTTTGGGTTGAAATAAAGCAAATTCATATTATATGTCCACATCAGTCTTGTTGCGATATAGCCTTTTATGCAGATATGGCATAAAACAAACACCAATCAATCACTCCAAATCAGTCTAGCTGCGATAAAGCCTTTTTGCACTGATACTGCGTAAAGCAAACACCAATCAATCAATCCAAATCTGTCAAATTTTGAGCAGACTTTTACACACAAAAAGTTTGGATAACATCAGAAATATCTTTAAATTAAGGTCAATTAAATAACTTGTTTTAATTTTCCCTACCTTTGGTCTTTTAATGGTTTTCTGTGGTTTTTTGTTTCCCAGTTTCTTTAATGTGTTCATATAATTACGCTGTGTTGTTGTCAGAAACATATCCAACACATGTCCTTCATACTGAAATGTTCAATATTTGAAATACCATTAGGGTTCACACATGTTTATTTTTAAAAATTCTTCTAGTAAAACAACATACTAATTCTTCATGTTGTTAATAGTTTAGTATTAGTATTTTCTAAATATTGAATATCTATTAGGTATGATAAATTGAATTAACAATATTCTTAAAATTATACTAATGGACTTTTGTTTTTCCCCGCATGAAATAATAAGGCGTATGATGCCTGGAAATCTGGTGTTGCTGCCTCTTGTATGGTAATGTTTGTACTAATGGAATAAATAACGGTTAGAATAAAGTTTACCTGTTTCTTGAGTTCATTAAAGTTGTCAATGATAACACTTATAATCAGGTTTAATGTGAAGAAAGATCCAAACACAATAAATGCCACAAAGAAAAGATAGTACCATATGTTGGACTCAAACGAAGGCTGTATATCAACCTGAAATAAAAAGTCATACAATCAACAACCAGTAAAATATTCTCCAACCAAACCAAGAGTTGGTAAGTAAGTGTTAGTTGTAACCCTGTTTTTTATTAGAAATAACCTTAACTGTGAGTTGTATGCCAAGATCAAATTAACAGTCAAAATAAACTTGTATATTAAAGCTACTTAACTTTACACTTAAACTAATATTCTGACAGACAGTTACTTAATCTTTCCTGATTTTCTTTTCTTTTAATTTACAAAAAAAACCGGTATAATTACCTGAGTAGCATCTACTGCATCTTCCATCAACTCCATCCAACCTTCAAATGTGGCCTAGAAATAAAATTGTAATTGTTCAATAAATTATTTTTTTTATATATTATGCTATTGTCTCTGTTAAAAGCTACTTAAAACATGACTTCAACACTAGAAATCAACATCAAGCTCTCAAATTATAATTTTTTTATTTTAGGGTTCATCAACAGAGTTTTAACATAACAAATTTGTGTAACAAGAGTCTTTCAAAATGACAGCAAACCAAGGTTTCATTACACTTAATAGTGTCATTGATAAATCAGTTCTTAAGGTAATTCACACAGAATCCTCATAAAGTGCCATTTTCAACTTCTGAACGGCAGTTTTGAAAATCGGCTATATGGAACTTGTCATCAGTGACAACAAATTTAAATTTGAAAGACAATAAGATGAAAAAATCAAGGCCCTATCCTGGTGACAAGAATTAATAGGGATATATTTACTGCCCCTCACCTGAAAAGGTGCTCCCCCATTTCAGATTTTATAGACTATAGAACTCATCTGAGGTTTTGATATGAGTGGAAACCTTCATACGAATTTGAAAAGGAGGATCAGGAGAAAAATGAAATAATAGTGCATTTGTAGTCCCTTCCCCCCAAAAACTAATAGTTCCCCCATTTAAGGTGTTTATGATTATAAAACTCATCCATGGTTCTGAAAAGTGAACAAGTTTTGGAGAGGATACAACAAAAAATGAAGGCCCCCATAATGGCTACAAGATTGAGCATAATTTAAAAATTCCCTTTTATTATATTTTCATTACACAATTGATATTGTATAAAACTATATATGTATAATATGATACTTACCACTTGGAATAAGGATAAGAATCCCTGTCCTACATGGTCAAAGTTTATTTTTGAATTAGTCCAATTATAGCCACTAGAAATACAGTGGGATTTATTAGCTATTACAGATGGATCAAATTTCTCTCCATCATTATCCACACATTTGAAAAACTTTCCAGCAAAGAACTGCACTCCCATAATACTGAAAATGAGCCAGAATACCAGACAGACAATTATCACGTTTATAATGGAGGGGATTGACAGCATCAGAGCATTGACAACAATCTGAAAAATAAAAAACAAGTCTTTTAAACATTTTATAAAAAAAAGATAAAAAAAACTCAAACAAAGTAAAGTTTCAGTTTTAAACAATCAATAAGTATTTAACATAAATGTGCATGGTTAAAAACAAAATTAAACATACCTTCATTCCTTGCCATCTTGAAATGGCTCTGAGTGGACGTAAAGCACGAAGTGTTCTCAGAGATCGGAAAGCAGAAATGTCAGCAGCACCTGCTGCAGCTGCAGCAAAACTGGCCCAAGATATCTGTAAAAACATTAAATGTCATTCACAATACAAAATATCAAAAGTTATATAAATAAAAACTTTTCAAAAGTCAGAATATTTTTTTTCAACAGTTTTATTATGACTGATAATTGTTTTATTCATGTACAGTAATTTGACATGAAACTTATTTTGCTTTTACAATTCAGCATCTAATCTTTCACTTGCACACATCATAACATGGGTATTGCTTAGTAAATAAATGCACATACACAACTTTTTTCTATGGATCATCATACAATACCCAATGGCAAGTTTATTACAAGAAAAGCTTGGAAATCAGGTTATGGAAAAAAGATTACCAACTAGATGTGTCAACACGACATGAATGGCCCCACTCGCAAAAAAAAGATTTAAACCATTTTTTGGAGTGGAAATTTAAGAATGAAAGTGTATATAACTGTTATTTTCATGAAATTTTCGAGGTCCAAAGCCTGAATTTAGGCAGTGGAGCATAACCAAACATAATCTTGATTTGTAACTCATCATAGTAGACTCACATACTAAAAATCAGCTCAATATGTAAAAGCATTTAGAAAATAACTCTGTATAACTGTTTGTTGTGGAATGACAGAATGAAGGAATGATGGAATGATGGATAAGGGCAAAACTATATGGCCCTGACCACTTTGTGACTGGGCCATAACAGTTGCAATTTCTGACACAAGAGCTTAATTGAAAATATTTGATTTTGACAGTCAAGACTGGCAAATATAACAGTTTCAGGACCCTTGCTGTTAAAGTTTTCACTTTTTTTCTTGCATTTTTTACCATTCGTCTGTGTGAATGTAGGCTCAAGGGAGAATGTTAAGTGTACAATTAAATCTTCTCTAAGGTGTTTCAACTGAGTGAAAATAAATCATACTTACAACAACAATGATAAAATCAAGAATTGTCCAAAAACTGCTGAAATATGTCTTCATCCCAAGAGCAAGCCATTTCATCAACATTTCAATGGTGAACAGGACAACAAATATAATATTGATGATATACAGAGCTTGCTCCAGTTCAGGTTTCTGGTACAAATAAATATCTTCAAAAGCCTGCAAAAAATGAAATATAATCTTAATTTTCTGTATATATACACACCCACTACAGTTGACCTATTACTAACAACTGAAAGACTGATCAAATCACTATAATGTAGCATTGACTACAAAACTCTCTAACTGACATGTATACTTTGCAATGATTTTATGAACCAAATACAGTAAGCATATAACTTAAAATAACTGATTACACACTTTTTCATGCCGTCATTGAACCATGACAACAATCTCAATGACAATACACTAAAGTCAAGAAGGAGGCTTTAGACCACAATGCATCTGAATACAACATTTGGATTACCCAGCATTACAACCTTCTGAATTATAAAGCATTATACAAATAGTTTATGCTAGACCCCAGTGTCTGAATAATATCCAAATGTCTCACCACATTCATTGCAAGAACTTAGACAAAAATGTACTTTATCTATATTTCTTTCCCCTTTTTTGTAAATAGACTCTTTCGTTTTACAATTTTACACAAAAAATACTGAAGTAAAGTACCTACCAATGACATACTACTCAAGCCAATACAAATCAAAACAATAGCTTCAAATACTTTGCTTTCTACAATCATGGTCATCACACGACGAAATTTGTACCATCTTATCCCACATGTAGTTTGGTCAAAATGTTCCCAGCCATTACTACAAAACCTATAATATAGGAGTTCAAATAATTAGCATACTAAAATATCAGAAAGTGTAATAATATGTTCATTTTTACTCGTTAATGAAAATTAAGGCCATCACTGTTTCCTTTTTCTTCTCTATTGTCCCATGTACAGATACCGAAGTACAAATTCAAATTCAAATACAGACCTCACAATGGTTAAGGCCTTGCTATATTGTTCCAACACATTGCCATTATCTCAATAATGTTTATCCCACATCTTTAATTCACAATTTGTTGATTCAAGAGTCCTAAATAGTAAACACCTCCTTGAAATTGCATAAAAGCAAATCAAAACACCAATTAATTACACTTGGAAATGTATGAAAATTGGTAAAAAAAGGATAGAAGCTTTTAAACTTGTTGGAAACAATGGCTAGTGTTTGGGGAGGCGGATAAAAATGAGAGGATGATTAGAGAAATAAGATGATTTCTGTAGCAAAAATGTGAGAATGAATAATACATAAGAACATTGTAGAATATATATCCCTAAATCAGTCAGTTATTCATGTTCAGTTAGATATAAGTAGAATCCATAGCACCCAGAAGGTAAACCTTTCCTGATAAAGTTCAAGTCATAAAGGACTTTTGTTACAAATGATATTATGTGTATGTTTTTTTACTTAAACGTGAAAACTATTCAAACAATCTTACAAAAATCAAACAAATACTGAAATCAAAATTGTTTCACACAAAATAAAAGGTGATATAAAAAATCTATTTTGTAAGTGTTGAAGCATGCATGCTGTTATATTGACAAAAATAATTTGATAAAATAGTGTTTTATATATTGAACAGTGATACATTTAAAACATAAAAAATATGATTATTTTCTTGTCAAAATTCCCTAACTTTTCATCCACTATATATTATAAATTTTTCCCCTTCAACCATCTGATGAGAGACTATTATAAAAAGATTTGTATAAAGTTTATAATAGTATCCTGCATATACAAAGAAATGTTAAGGTATTCTTAATAATTGTTAATATTTCTATAAATTAATTTACTATTGAAAATAGTTTTCCTTATCAAATAAAATTTATCTACAAATAAAAAATAATGTGTTGCTTTTTCATAGATTAAGTTGTGGTTAATAAAGAAATGAAAAGGTTTTCAGTTTCCATTTTAATAAAAGACTAAAAAGATGCAGATCTTACCTTAGTTCAATACTATATAAGTGAAAATACAGAGAAATTGTCACATGATAGAAAACAAGGTACACAATGTCATAAAAAATCATTTAGTTTTTATATGTACTAAACAAACTATTTTGTGTAAAGGCTATGCAAAATGCAGAAGTCTGTCATAAGGAAACAATCTGATAATTGAGGTACACAGTTATCTCACTAAACCAAGGAATACATAAAAGAAAACGATATCTCCCATATAACATGTACAAAGCAAGTAAACTTAATTATCTCCCCTTAAAAAAGTCTCTATGAAGAGCACATTTAGTCTTTTGCTGTTAAACTATTTGACATATCTGGTGGAAATAAAATGAGATGGGTTTTTTTTCTGATTTCAAATTAATTTGATTCTAAGAATTTTCTATCTGTCTTGACATTTCTAAATGTTTAATTTATGACTTGGAGTCCATCACGAAAAAAATCATTTTATGTTTTTGACATTTTTATTAAGACTGCCAATTTAAAAAAAATAAGGAAGGTTGTCAGAAGGAAAATAAAACTAATAGAGTTATTTCACCAACAACTTTCTTACCTTTTTGAACACATGAGAGGAAAACAATCATTAACAACAACTTCTTTCTTCTCTTCCTCTTTATCTTTCTTTGAATGAGTTGAAGCTTCTTCTCCAAGAGACAAATCGTCTTCATTTTCTGATTTTGAATCTTTATTTTTGTTATCTTTGTCATCTTTGCTCTTTTCCTTGTCTTCCTTTTTAGCAGAGGCATTTTTTGCGTCATTAAAGCTGGAATAAGTGTCCCTCTTTGTTTTAAAGGCATCATCTATGTCTTTTCCTTTGGCAGCATCTTTGTCTTTTCCAGTAGCTGCATCTTTGTCTTTTCCAGTTGCTGCATCTTTGTCTTTTCCTTTAGCATCCTTAAAGTACATTTATTTTTTGGCAAAATTGAAAATTGGCCGAGATAAAATGGTAAGAACAATTAAAGCTCCATGCGTATGAAACATATAAAAAATAAAAGACGCTCAATACCTTCTAAAACCAGAAAAAAATCTCTCTAATGTCTTAAAAAATTTTCAATATGAAAGTTCTCAGTCTGATCTCACACACCAGTCACATGACAACATCAGAAAGTTAGGCATATCTCGGATGAACAACACTTCGTCAGCATGAAATATCAACTTATGGGTAATGTCACCTGACCATAGGTTTCTAGCATTGTGAGGGGTCAAAACAAAAAATGTGGTAAAAACTTATCATTTCATTTGCTAAATTCCTAAATGAGAAAGACTAGACAGATGCATAAATATTTTCAACCTTTATACTCTTTAAACAGCTATCCCTGAACTCTCCTATATCTGGTTAAAAAAAAAACGTTTCATGTTGATTTAAAAAGAAATGTACATGTATATCAAATGTGAGTCTTTTCAAATGAAATGTGATCAAAATGTTAATATGACTGTTGTATCTTGACGATTGCTGTACATCAATATAAACATCTGTGTGTAAGAGGGTTCATGATTGGCATACATCAATATATACATGTGTGTCAGTGTGTTCATGATTGTCGTACATTAGTACATACATGTGTCAGAGAGTTCACGATTACTGTACATCAATATATACATGTGTGTCAGAGAGTTCACGATTACTGTACATCAATATATACATGTGTGTCAGAGAGTTCACGATTACTGTACATCAATATATACATATGTGTCAGAGAGTTCACGATTACTGTACATCAATATATACATGTGTGTCAGAGAGTTCATGATTGTCGTACATCAATATATACATGTGTGTCAGTGTGTTCTTGATTGTCGTACATCAGTACATACATGTGTGTCAGAGAGTTCACGATTACTGTACATCAATATATACATGTGTGTCAGAGAGTTCACCATTACTGTACATCAATATATACATGTGTGTCAGAGAGTTCATGATTACTGTACATCAATATATACATGTGTGTCAGAGAGTTCATGATTGTCGTACATCAATATATACATGTGTGTCAGTGTGTTCTTGATTGTCGTACATCAGTACATACATGTGTGTCAGAGAGTTCACGATTACTGTACATCAATATATACATGTGTGTCAGAGAGTTCACCATTACTGTACATCAATATATACATGTGTGTCAGAGAGTTCATGATTGGCATACATCAATATATACATGTGTGTCAGTGTGTTCATGATTGTCGTTCATCAGTACATACATGTGTGTCAGAGAGTTCACGATTACTGTACATCAATATATACATGTGTGTTAGAGAGTTCACGATTACTGTACATCAATATATACATGTGTGTCAGAGAGTTCATGATTGTTGTACATCAATATATATACATGTGTGTCAGTGTGTTCATGATTGTATATCAGTACATACATGTGTCAGAGAGTTCATGATTGTCATACATCAATATATACATGTGTGTCAGAGAGTTCACAATTACTGTACATCAATATATACATGTGTGTCAGAGAGTTCATGATTGTCGTACATCAATATATACATGTGTGTCAGAGAGTTCACGATTACTGTACATCAATATATACATGTGTGTCAGAGAGTTCATGATTGGTGTACATCAATATATACATGTGTGTCAGAGAGTTCATGATTGTCATACATAAATATATACATGTGTGTCAGAGAGTTCACGACTTCTGTACATCAATATATAAATATGTGTGTGTGTGTCAGAGAGTTCCTGATTGCCATACATCAATATATACATATATGTGTGTGTCAGGGAGTTCCTGATTGCCATACATCAATATATACATGTGTGTCAAAGAGTTCATGATTGCCGTTCATCAATATATACATATGTGTGTGTGTCAGAGAGTTCATGATTGCTGTACATCAATACATGTATGTACGTATGAATGTATGTGTGTCCGAGACATACCTTGTTATTATTGTCTTTATTCTGTACAGCTCCATTAGACTGTGATATTGGGTGTGTGTGTGTATGTGTGTGTGTCAGTGACATACCTTGTTATTATTGTCTTTATTCTGTACAGCTCCATTAGACTGTGATATTGGGTGTGTGTATGTGTGTGTGTCAGTGACATACCTTGTTATTATTGTCTTTATTCTGTACAGCTCCATTAGACTGTGATATTGGGTGTGTGTGTATGTGTGTGTGTCAGTGACATACCTTGTTATTATTGTCTTTATTCTGTACAGCTCCATTAGACTGTGATATTGGGTGTGTGTGTGTGTGTGTGTGTGTGTGTCAGACATACCTTGTTATTATTGTCTTTATTCTGTACAGCTCCATTAGACTGTGATATTGGGTGTGTGTGTATGTGTGTGTGTGTGTCAGGCATACCTTGTTATTATTGTCTTTATTCTGTACAGCTCCATTAGACTGTGATATTGGGTGTGTGTATGTATGTGTGTGTGTCAGACATACCTTGTTATTATTGTCTTTATTCTGTACAGCTCCATTAGACTGTGATATTGGGTGTGTGTGTGTGTGTGTGTGTGTGTGTCAGACATACCTTGTTATTATTGTCTTTATTCTGTACAGCTCCATTAGACTGTGATATTGGGTAAGTGTATGTGTGTGTGTGTGTGTGTCAGACATACCTTGTTATTGTTGTCTTTATTCTGTACAGCTCCATTAGACTGTGATATTGGGGGTAGTTTTAATTTCTCAGAACCTTTCTTATCCTTTCCATCTACTTTTGGATTACCATTTTTGTCTATATATAAAACAAATCCTAAATTTAAATTATTTTTCTTTTTAATGTCAATATTCTTTTCTGTATCTATCAAACTGTACAATTGATATGATACAGAAGATCAAACTTGTTTTTACTTATCTAATCCGAACATCCAGTCTGCAACTGGAAAATAAATCATATTCATTATATTATTCTGTATAGCTGTCAACTTTTTAAACCACCCTTCATAGATCTCCATTGGATGAAATTGTTTAGTTCCGTGCTGCTTTAGAACCTATTTCACATTGTTTTTTTTTTTATTGTATCAGATTTATTTTTGTAGTTAAACAATTAATATTAAGAAAATTCTAAATCAACATTCAAATGAGCCAATAACTTTAGCTGAACAACATGTTAAGAATCTTGGACACTCTGTATTGTGTAAACAATTTTTTGACAATAATTTATCTATCTTAAAGAATAAACAAAAACTTATAGCGAAATAAAAATCAAAGAGGGAAAAAACAGGGATTTTTTTCTAAAAGCAGGAAACTTGACCATCTGTCAAGAGAGACTGGTTTCAATAGGAACATCCACATTTTGGTAAAAAAAATATGAGGGGTTGAGTTTTTTATGCATGTCCCTGAAATATGCAGAAAGTAAATAAAAACAAGTAGTGTGAAAATGATTCTCCATCAAAGACACTGTCTAAAAGCTGAAGCTCTATAAGCACTATGTAAGAAAGAACAAAGAAAATATAATTTGTATTGATAATAACCATGTATATATTGAGTATTTTCACACCATACTTATCATTTTTCAAATCTTAAATCAAAACGTAAACTCATTTTCAACTGAAATCTACACAGATGAAATTATCATGCATAACATTTAAATTTACCTCCTTACCATTTTTTTTCTATGCACACAAATGTTTAAATATGTGAATTTGTGAATTAGTTATTAAGGAGAACACATCTAAAACAAAGAGTGGAGACACACAGACTACATAGTAGTCACAGTCATGAATATGTTTTTTTCAGTCAAAGAAGAAGGTATGATATAAAGGATACTTTTTGGTCCCTCAAATTTAAAAATCAAAAATATAATAAATTTATGGTCCCTTGAATTCAAAAAGCAAAATTATAATATATGTATGATTCCTAAGACAAATTGAATTAAATAATCAAAAGTATATAATATCTATTAAATAACATCCTTTAAATGTTCACAAAATATCAGTATTCATATTTTACAATGGGTCTAATATATTTGATTTAGGGCTTCAATTTAGGTATGTTATTTCATATACAAGAGGCTGTCAAAATGACAGCTAACTGGGTTGTTTTTAAATTCATTAATGTCATTATTACAGCAATATCAAACTTAACCTCCATTTTTTCATCAGTAACACCATATTTAAATTTGAAAGTATTGTAAGTTATGGCACTGAAACAACATAAAATGTCATTTCCAATCATTCAATGAACATAACTCATGAACAGAAAAAGTGGAAATCATCAATATCAAACTAGGCCTCCATTTTATCATCAGTAACATCATATTAACATTTGAAAAGCATTGGTTGAACAGTTCATAAGCTATTGCATGGAAACTACATAAAGTGTAATTTTCCAATTAATCAAGGATCATAGCTACTGAATGACAAAAGTGAAAAAAATAAATATTGAACTTGACCTCAATTTTGTCATTAGCAACATCATTTCAAAATTTGATAAGCATTGGTATAACAGTTCATAAGTTATCTCAGGTAAACAATTGGAGCCGCCAACCCGCCCTAAAAACCCAAATCAATAACCAGATTTCTGCTGGAAAACCAGATTAAAAACTGCTCAAAATCCCAAAATAACCTAATTTTGAGATCTTGTCATTAATATTTAAATAGGAGCCAAGGCCTTACCCTAAAAGACTTTTGGTACAAGTTCTCTTAAACATAGACGCTTATGTGTGCCATTCAAGGTCAAATATGTCATTTTAAGGATGTTTATGATATCAAAGTGACATTTTAAATGACGTTTCTGTTCTAAAATGTCCAAATTTTATCATCTTAATCGTTTATCAATAGAACTAACATTATTTTGAAAGCATTGAATAATTTTACAATATTTGTAATTTCAGGGACTTGTAAATTGCTCTTATCTCCAACTTTAAAAACAAAACTTGTCTGGAACCCCTTTAACATCATATTACTTTCTCATTTTTGCCACAAAAAGGAAAATAAATATACTGATTGATAAATAAAAATAATAATTACCATGTGTGCCAAAGGAACACAAGTGAAAATAATAATGAATCGATCAGACTCTCTTCACAGGTCATAACAAAACATTTTACCTTCTAAATTTTCAGAATTAAAAATTAAATTTATTTGACTTATGCGAATAACATGATAAAATACTCAAAGATGAAAAACACCGAAATTAATATCACTACAAGAACACAACACACTAAGTTACAGTATTATAAGAAGAAGTGTTAAAGCTTTCAATACATTTATAAACTGGTGGTCCTACAAACTACTATAGCAAGTATTAGTGTTTATATAGATTTAATGGTCAGACTGAGTAAATTCACAAATTTCATCATTTTTACGGGGGAAAAAAACTGATTTTATTCTATGTAATGTCACATTACATTAAAAAACAACACATTATAATTTTTTTCATTATGGTCAAGTGAAAGTAATTAAATGTCACCTGGAGATATTTTGTTCTTCAGACGTCTTTACTTCTGTTCTGTGACATTCCATAGAAATTTGTATAAAAATAAGTACAGATAACTCCTATTATCTTTATATTTCTTGTATACTGTGTACAAGTTTTCTAGAAAACTGTGGGACATATAAATACTTTTGAAAACATTTTCTACACTGTATACTCTAATGCATTTAAAAAAAATCATCAATTAAAGCTGCAATTCAGTCTCTTCCAGAATGTTAACAAATATGGGTTAATTACCAAAGGAATTTGCTTTATCTTTTAAATCTATCAGCATATCCAAATGAGATATTTGTATGACACTTTAAACTACTTTAACTCAACAAATAAATTACCATTTTTTAATGGGTAAAACAATGAAATTAACTGGATTTATATATTAAACTATATACATATTATTTTATCTTAACAGTTCTGCATTCATCATATGACTTTAACTTCATCCCAAAGCTAAAAAAATTTCACACATTTCAAATGGGCAAAAGTCATACTTTTCTGCTTAATGCAAAAATTACAGATTGTCAAAAGCTTCTGATGCATAAAACATAATACAGAAGTTATTATTCAATTATCTCCATTAGTAGAAATATCTATTCTTTCCATGGGATTTAATGATTTGTTAATTGAGAAAATTTTAAGATTAAATTTCTTCCAGGGGAATTAAAATCAAATAATAATGGAAATGTTGAGGAGACTGATTTTTCAAGTTTATCAAGAGAAATGTAATTCAATATTAATCAAAACAAAACTAAAATTATTATATTAAATAAAATAGAGAAAATACTAAAAATGTTTGACCTATCTATTGTTACATATCTAAGTTTACCTATTTCAAAATGCTATGTTTGTCTCTCTATATGGTAAATTTACTATTTTGCATCAATTATATATAACAAAAAGTATTTATTCTAATTTTTTAAAATAGCCAGTCTGTTTTTAATTTGATATATTTATAAAACCAATGAGAGAAACAATCATGGCTGTCCACCAGTTTATAAATGCATAGGTTAGTAGAGCTAGTACTGCAGTGTGCTTACCATTGCTATTAATACTCTCAATATCAGAAGAGAGTTCCATACCTTCCTCAATCTCTGCCTCATTAGGTGCTACTTTCTTACTTAAACAACAACAACAAATCTCTTTGATTCTTCTAACAGCCGCCAACATTTTGTTGTCTTCTTCTTTATCTCCATTGGCTTTCAAATTATCACTAGCGAAAGCATTAATTAACAAGGCGAGGAAGAGATTCAGTACCTGAAATATTATTAGCAACAGGTTATCATTAAGATTGTTATTAAAAAAAAAAAGTCAAACACAATTATAGAAAATCAAAGAGGTTTAAACCTGCATTAGAATTAGATCTAAAAACATTTGATCCACATTTTTTTGGAAAATTCAAAAATATAACAATCTTTCTTTGTATACTCAAACAGAAATAAACATTTATAAAAGTACCTTTCATATTCGCCAGTAGTAAATATTAATTAGCCTTAATGTCATAATATGTCACAATAATTATCAAACACTATTTTTTTGTTTATTTCATGCCAATCTTTATGTTTTCTTTGGGGAAAATATGTCGTCAGCAAAAACACTGATTATATTGTCAACACTTGTGGAAGGTTTTAAAGTTTTGTTCTTCATTTTGAGTTAACAATTTGAACTGTCAGCTATTGGTGACATCTGCTCACTAATGATACCATTGCTATAAGTATACAGTTAATTGATAAGTGATAGATGTGAAAATGCATCAGACAGTAAAGCATGTTCTCATTCAGTTTGATTCCAAATTTCAGAAAGTCTTGATGTGTCCTTCCTGATAAAAAAGCGACAGAAATTTCATACATAGCTATTACGTGTATGAAAATATAAGTATTTGGTTAACAGGAAGTTGATGAACAATGAATCTTATAATGCACCACACAGTATAGTATGCTCACATGAAGCTTGATACCATATTTCAGGAAGATCTGATTTGTAGTTCATGAGAAAAATGTGACCGAAATTGTATTGGACAGACAGACATAATCCAGTACCCCCCTCCTTCTGAGCAGTGGGTATAAATATAAAATTAACTTAAATGCAGCCACAAAGTTAAAATTTACTCTACATTAAAAATCAAGTTTATATCTTGAACAATACTATGGATTCATTTATTTTTGTGGATATCAATTTTTGTGGATTGAGGAAAAAATGTATGTTCTGGGATATTTGATTTTGTTGTTTTGCTAAAATCTGCATACAAGCCTTTACAAAATGTGTTCTTCATTGAACATTAAAATTTGTGTTTTACATAGACCCATAAAATACACGAAAGTTAATATCCATCAAAAATAAAGGAATCTACAGTAAGTTATTGTTTCCATCTAAACCTTTTTAGTTTGTTGAGTCTTTCAAGTTTGACAATGATCACTACTTGAAACCCAAGAAACCAGGAAGAAAAACTAAGCTAAGGAATTATATATTCCTTCAAACAACCACATGATATATATATATTTACAGTTGTCGCTACACATATGCAGACATATCTCATTATAAATTCATAGTGTTTGTATGCTTCTAAAAATAGAATAGCATCCTGTAATTATACTGGAGAGATGAGTAGATAATCATTCCTAGACACTTAAAAATACTTCATGTATTGTGATAAGATGTCATTGTTTAACACCTACGAGAAGGTAACACCTCCCGAAACGAAAGCTGATTATTATCAGCTATAGTTAGAGGAGGGATATAAGGCGTCTGCACAGTGCTAGGCGGTGTTGTCGTAGAAGTGAGAAGTGAAAAGTACAGGTTCCAGCTCCGCTTGGGGAGGAAGTAAAGAATCAGATCTTCTCTAACATTGTTAGGTTGATTTTCTAGGTACATGTACTTTATAATATATATATATATAGATATATATATATATTTTTATATTTATAAAAGGATAGTGAATGTTATAGTTAAAATTGTGAAAATTTAGGATAATGGACGTTACCGTTAAAATTTGTGAAAATTTATTATGTAATTCAAAATATTAAATATCTGCATTTTTCAAATTTGAATTTTATCTATATATATATCTATGTATAACATTATTAGAAGTTGAAGCTTGAGAACCTTCAGAGTGTTATAAAGGATGAACTGAACCCATTCATCAATTTCTAATTTTAATTGCAAGGTAATCTAATCAAGTATCTACAAAACAAATTTCAACATTTTCTTTGTAAGTATAGTTAAACATTATTTATATGGTTGTCATATAGAAAAAAATCATGTTCTCAACATGAGATCTGAATAGATTTAAATGGAACATGTACATAATTAATTATCAAGAAATATTTAATGTTTTGGACTAGCTCCAACAGGAATGACATCCTTTATGTACCCGACAATAAAGTTCATAGGTACCCTGAATATTGAAGTCTAGGTAAAACTTCAGTTTGATTGTATGTAAAAATGGTTAAAAAACTTCTTTCTACTATGAGAAATGTGTAAACTGTAAATATTTATCTAAAGTCTCTATGTTACCTCAACATTCATACCCTGAAGTGACAAATGAATATTAGAATTCCCACAAATACTTCCTCTTATTAATACCAGTAATATGGTAGACATTACAAGGTAACAGACATGTTTCCTATCGTCGCTCTGTTAACACCAGTAATATGGTAGACATTACAAGGTAACAGACATGTTTCCTATCGTCGCTCTGTTAACACCAGTAATATGGTAGACATTACAAGGTAACAGACATGTTTCCTATCGTCGCTCTGTTAACACCAGTAATATGGTAGACATTACAAGGTAACAGACATGTTTCCTATCGTCGCTCTGTTAACACCAGTAATATGGTAGACATTACAAGGTAACAGACATGTTTCCTATCGTCGCTCTGTTAACACCAGTAATATGGTAGACATTACAAGGTAACAGACATGTTTCCTATCGGTGCTCTGTTAACACCAGTAATATGGTAGACATTACAAGGTAACAGACATGTTTCCTATAGTCGCTCTGTTAACACCAGTAATATGGTAGACATTACAAGGTAACAGACATGTTTCCTATCGGTGCTCTGTTAACACCAGTAATATGGTAGACATTACAAGGTAACAGACATGCTTCCTATCTTTGCTGTAAGAAATAGTCCAATGCCTATAGTAGTAACAAATTTATTTACACCTTAGACCATCCTATAATTCAAGGGACACATACAGATAAATTTATCTGAAGGTTTTTGGTTGATGTGTGTATTTCATACACTTGTTCTCAAAAGGTCCCATATGTACTTACAATAAAGTTTCCCAATACCAGTGTGGGTAGGAAAACCACCATACAGAGTTCTCCTTCTGCTCTCATACAGTCCCACAATGGTTCTATCCACTCCCCACATAGAACTCGAAACACCATCATCATAGCGTGGAAAAAGTCTTTGAAATGCCACCTAAAATCAATCAACACAATCTTCATTTTATATCAAATTTTTAAAATTTCATTTTATTAAAATCTTTACGTAACCATTAGTTTTTACAACTATGAAACTGTGCAATATCACAGAAATCAAAACTTTTACAGATGTATACAAAGGTGCAAAGAATGTAAACTGAGCCAGCAATTAAAAAGACAGAAGTTTAAAAAAATACTTCCATGGGTCAACTTATGACTTTCAATGTTCAACAAGCACCCAAACCATAAGGCAAGCCTAAGCATTACACTGTACCAGTTTTTTTATAAACTAGATGTGACAATGATGTTTCTTCATTGTCTCATGTGCATGTATCTCATAACCTAATAATTACATTACATGTATGTTTCATGAGAATCCCTTAGTTTGATTGGCTAACAACAATAGTATATCATTAAAAAATTAACCTTTATATCAAAATGAAATGTTACATTCGTGATGACATGTGCTTCCACAAAAATTCGTAAGGGTTCCGTGGAACCCAGTGTCTCGCCTACTTTTGCTGTTAATTGCAGGCTCAACAAAAATGAGGAAAAAAATCAATAAAAATATTCCTTTAGATACTATCTTTTGATTGTAAGAAGCTTCTGTCAAAGTTTGTTATAAATCCTGGATAGTTTATGAATCTAATAAATGTTTTAAAAACTTTAACTGCAGACTGTATTTTATGTTAACTGGAAGAAAAACTAAGTCCATTTATAAGTAAAATACGGATAAACAGGTACAAATTTTAACAAAATTTCCTTCTAGATACTAGCTTTTGATCATAAACATGCTTCTGTCCTAATTTGGTACAAATCCAGGATAGTTTAAGAAAGTTTTTAAAATTTTAAAAACTTTAACCACAGAGTGAATGTATTGTTTCCTGGCAGAAAAACTAAGTCCATTTATAAGTAAAATACGGAAAAACTGAAATTTTTTTTTTACAAATTTACTTCTGGATACTATCTTATGATCATCTGTCCAAGTTTGGTACAAATCCAGGATAGTTTAAGAAAGTTATTAAAATCTTAAAAACTTTAACCACAGAGTGAATGTAATGTTTCCTGGTAGAAAAACTAAGTCCATTTACAAGTAAAATACGGAAAAACAGGAATTTTATTTTTACAAAATTTACTTCTGGATACTATCTTATGATCATAAACAAGCTTCTGTCCAAGTTTGGTAGAAATCCAGGATAGTTTAAGAAAGTTATTAAAATTTCAAAAACTTTAACCACAGAGTAAATATTTGTGGCCGCCGCCGCCGACGGAATGTAGGATCGCTATGTCTCGCTTTTTCGACTTAAGTCGAAGGCTCGACAAAAATAGCACAGGTAAATTAAAGAAAAACTTGATAAAACGTTTTTTTCAAGGTCTTATTAGTGTAAAAATGTAATTATAAGAAATGAATGCTTCTTTTTGTAATTTTATTGGGGTGTAAAAGTGTTGATCGTGCACACATTTTAAGAACAAAGCGCTTCCACAATTCATACAAAATGTGCACGATCAACACTTTTACACCCAAATAAAATTACAAAAAGAAGCATTCATTTCTTAAATGTTATTTTTCATTTCCATTTTTTTTTTTTTTTTTTTTTCATTTTCCACTAAATGTATTACACTCATAAATACAGATCAACACAAAGTAATGAGATAACAATGTGTTTTATGTTTTCCCGCCATTAGATATTGTCTCATATACATTAATTTTTTATCCATTCTTACATTTAATACCTATTAGTAAAGGATCAGTAAAAAAGTTTTCATATCCATAAACCAAAAGAAGCCATAAACACACCTTGGAATGTCATCTCCAAATACAGAAGATGTGTAACTTTTACTGAATAATTGTAGTCCTATAACAGCAAAGATGTAGATTACAATTATCAGAATAAGGGTTAAAGGTCCAAGAGATCCTAATGTACTCAAAATAATCTGTAGTAGTAGTCTCATTGTTTTCCAGGACTGGGCCAACTTCAGAACTCTCAACTGAAATAGACAAATGTATAAACATGACTTTTAATGACTGGTCTAGTTCAGAACTAAATATCAAAATAGATAGAATATTTACTCTAGTGTTCTGCAATGATTTAACAAGCTTCAGAACTCTCAAATGAAACAGGTAAAAATATAAAGTCTTTCTTTTTCGGAATTTTTATGAGATTTATGAAGAAGCACATCTGCCGTAATAAATTATAAACCTGGTATATTTGATGAGTTTCCAGGATCTTCATTGGCTGGTCTAGCTACAGGGCAGATCAAATACATGTATATACTGCTTATTAACTGTAGTCTGTTGTACAAGTGTCTAGTTTTTATTGTTATAAAATCAGAGAAAAGAATTATATTTGCAAAAGTATGGAAAATAGTGTTTGCATGTATGAAGTCAGCATGATTTGTATACATGTAAAAAGTATTAACCAATCTATACATTTTAGGTATGCTGGAGATGTGTTGACCATATACTATAGTTAAAAGAAAAAAAATATAGTCAGTCACAACATTGAGGTTTAACCTGCATCAGTACTTACCAATCTGAAGGATCTAAAGACAGAAAAACTTGGAATATCTGATAGACTGATATCTATAATACTGGCTATAACAATAACAAAGTCAAAAAGATTCCATCCAGACTTAAAGTAAAACTTGCTCCATGACATTATCTTCAGGACAGCTTCAAGTATGAAAACTGAGGTAAAAATCTGGAAAAAAAACATATACAAATTCATTATATCATAAACTTTTATTAACTCCAGTTCTGCAGGTTTATGATATTTCATTGCCCTGTTGGTAACTTCTTATTTTTTCATTATATATTTAAATGCTCTCTCAATGATCTTCCACAGCTTCTATGAAATATTTATCTATTCAAGCATTGTTTCTTTGTGTGTACACTGTAATAAATTTTTTAAGGTATAATAATTTAATTTTATAAACCAAGTTTCACATACCTGTCAACCTATGACAATGAAATGCAGGTGATGACCTGCATAGAAGAATGAAATCTCAGGTCATAACGCGTACGAACTTTTTCGAGCTGAATTTCAGTATTTAGAGGACATTTTTCTTATAATTTATATCAAAGTTTCCAAAACATGTCCACATGGTTAAGTAATTTAAAATTGTACCTGGAGGCCATTGATAGATTTGTGTTACATTGCCTTAATTCCTATTCATATTCATTCTATGACATACAATGTGCCAATTTGTGTTCTCTTTACATACATTTGTGCAGCTGTTAATCATTAGAACATAGCAGATGTTGACTAGAGTATAATAATAATAAAATAAAGGAGGTATAGATGAAAAAAGTAATTTTCAAAATTTTTATTTTTTAATTGTTCTAAGGTAATAAGTAAAAGTATTATTCTGATATGTTTGTGCATTCAATTCATTTTAGATTTAATCTTTTTACAAAAAAAAACATAAGTTTAAGGAGTATATTATGAATTGACAAAAAAGGGGAAGTAACTCAAATTGTTTTTAAAACAACTTTGAAATACACAAATTATTTACGACCTAAAGCTAAGGTAATAATTGGTGTTAATTAACAGCGTGTTTGACACCAAAGCTGTCAAGTGAAGCCATGCACTGAAATGGGTCAATTGAGCTGAGTTTACACAGCTAGTTGAACTTCTTGTCCAGGAAGAATTACGAATTTGCCAGTATTTCATTGAAATCACTTTATATCTAATCAGTCTGAAGGCTAAGGAATCCGGGTGAAAAAGGGTTATTTTCCGAATTCCCGGGTTACCCCTCAGAATTGTGAAAATCTCGGGTCACACCCGCAGGATCCGGGTCAGTTGACAGGTATGGTTTCATCACTGGAATTTTTTATCTTTGCATTCATAAGTGTCAATGTGTTTATATTGATTGCTCTATTTATTTGCATTATGATATAGATATGTCAACTCCTTGATATGGTTTGCCTAAATTGTTCGCACTCAGGCACTGAATTTACAAGTGTAAGCTCTTTGATATCAATTGCTTTAAATGTCTATTTTTAGATAGGTGTCATACATTTGATATTGATATTTTCTCAGAAATAAAACTGTCTAAACTTACATAGTTTGAAACCTCCAAAGTTGTTGTAAGTTCTTGTGGTTGGCCATGATGTTCCAACATCATAAACAGTGTATTCAAAACAATACATATTGTGACAAACAGGTCAAAAAGTGGGTCACTGACAAAGATGTTAAGACCATTCTGGAACTTGAGCCAACAAACAAACATTTTTGTGTTGGAACAACATGCACAATTTCTGTCCACCAGTTCATCTTTTCCTCTAACAGAAACATTGCCATCTTCATCAGCTGTAAAATAGTAATAAGTATGATTAAATTACAAAAAATCCATATCATACATCGGTACATTGTACTGCTTTGATTGGCAAGAAAAGAATTGCCTAGTCTAATTAATGAAATGGAAAAATTATGTACCAAAACTTTTACTCGATTTATTTGCATTATTGCCCCTTTTTGTCACATTATGACTTCATTTTTGGTACATTTATTCTCTCCATTACAGTACCTTATTCTCCACACTAAGCCAAAATTTTAAACTTGCTGACTCACATGGTAAATGTCCATCTACCCATACATATCATTCTGACTCGGAGCTGAAGTTTATTTGCTTTCACTTCTTCAAGGTGTGTGCTTAGTATAAAAGCAAAATATACCTATTCTAAAGTTTTGGGGTTAGGAAATAGAACAAATGACATTTTGCAATCATTAGCAACCACAGTACCTCAACACCTAAACATCAAAAGACTAATAAAATTACACTTTCACTAAAATGAATGAGAAGCACAAACTGATTAGCATTAAAATTTCCAACCAAAAGGAGTATAAAGCATTTAAAACTGGTTAAAAGGGATAATTTCACTTCAAAGAGTGATAAGTGTCCACTTATTTACATTAAGGCAATCTGTTTCAACTGTATTTGAATGAATGATTGGATGCAAGTGTACCCCTATAACTATAGATAAAAGAGGGGGTATACACAAAATGCACAGGGAATAGATTGATTAACGTTTAACACCACTTTCAGCACCATTGCTTTTTTCATGGCGGTCAGTTTCCATTGGTGGAGAAAGCGGTAGTGACCGGAGAGAACCACGAACTTCAGCATATTTTGGAAGAAGAAAATCTTAAATGTTTTAGTGTAACATAAAATAAAAGTCTGTTCATTTCAAACAATTAGCATTGATTTCATCAACATATCAAAACATTTTATATTAAAATCTACTTCCAAATCAATAGCGCTAAAATCTAAAACGACATCTACCCAATATAAAGTTGATTTCCTGTGAAGTAATTCCGGTAATTATGCTGCAGTTATTATTAGACTTGAACACTAACTTTGTATTCAATTGTTACTTATCGTTAGTTAATGGAAAACAAAATAATAAAACAATTCTTTATGGCCAAATGTCCTTAATTACATTGGTATATTCAAGTTTTACAAAGCATGTCACTTTTCTCTTAGGAGGTATAAATGTTTAGCTTTCAGGCATTCAATGTCATTATCAGTTTTATACATATATACATGTATATATATTTGCAATATACATGGAAGCAAGATATATGATTAGCCTAAACTTAGATCAATGCATAATTAATAATACATGTACTTCCCACATGGTTCTATGTATGCATGTCCACAGTGGGACAGCCATCTTGGTCTTCAAAGTTACAAGTTTTGTGAAAGACCATGACTGGTCAGTGGTCAAATATTATTTAATGGGCAATATCAACAGATTCAAAGATTCTGGCCAATGTTTTCATTTAAGCAGCCTAAAAAAATATCTTCTTTCACAGTAAGAGTAGTTCATGATATTTCTTTGTTATTCAACCCCTCACAAAAAGCTACTACTGTAAAGCTTAATCATACGTTTCCAAAAGTGGCCTTGAAAGAATTGAACTCCTGCACATTTGTTTAAAATGTAATACCCATTTCATATCAAAATAATGTATGAGACAAGACACAAATTTCAAGTAAGAATGCAAATTAGGTGGTAAAATAAATTTAAAAAAACACTTTCTTTCAGATAACTTAAAAGATAAAGTTGATTCTACATTGTTTGCACTTTTATTTAAATGTCAATTCTTTAAACTACATGTATTATTAATTAAAATCTTATTTTCTGCCTGGTTAAACTCTATTAAATAAAGTATTTTAATGAAATAATACACTTAAAATTTGAGCCGAGCTTAATGTTATAGTTCTAAAACTTCACCTGTATTAAATAATAAAAGTAAATGCAGTGGTTTTGTTTCCATTTTAGATGTACTATTATAAAACTTTAATAATGCAACAGTTTGGCGTCCACTCAATAAAATTTTCAGCTAACCTTGAAGAAATGACAAGGTTTCAATACATATAGATTTAACTCTCATATTACACTTTAAGTAAAATGAATTTAAGCGTTAAGATGAATCAATAAATTAGAGATTTCTATAGACGGTCATTGTCAGCACTACAAAGATTTTACAAGCCAGGTTTATTGTGTCCCAGCTAGTAGGTGTGCATCAGCTTAGACGCTCTATTCATAAACTCCTCATCCAGGTGAAAATATTTACTTACATGAAATGTACATTTTTCATGTAGAGAAATAGCCTTTTATAGAAACGTCAATTTCAAACATAACTCTTTTTACTTTGTTGTATGTCATTATGCATACTTAGTTTATAACAGTACATATTCAATAGAAATATTGGTCTGATTTATTCCAAGGAATTTATAACAATGATAATATTATAAATCAATTTATGTAAGGCTAATCCAGTACATATAACAACTTAATGTGGTATGGACTAATTTCATTGACTTGCAACTCTTTTCATATTTCGAACAAAGTTTATTCTTGTGACGCATTTACAGTATTCGTTTTTACAATTTTAGAAGACGATATTAAGTATTTAAGTAATTATCATTATAAACTGAATCAGAAAAATGCATTAATTTGTGGTAGATTTCGTGCAGTTCTTAACTTGCAAAATTAATATTTCTTTACTAATGGTTTGTGTATTGCTCAATGAGGGGTAAACATCAATAAAACATAAAATCAAAGAATCAAGTTGTTTGTTTTCCCCACATTTTTCATGGAATTGTCTGCCCTTCTTTAACTTATCATTTTTTAATTAGTATTTTGATAAAAAAAATTATGACAGACACATTGATAGCACCATGAAACATTATGACAGACACATTGATAGTTCCATGAAACATTATGACAGACACATTGATAGTACCATGAAACATTATGACAGACACATTGATAGTACCATGAAACATTATGACAGACACATTGATAGTACCATGAAACATTATGACAGACACATTGATAGCACCATGAAACATTATGACAGACACATTTATAGCACAATGAAACAAACGTCAATATCCCATGTATTGCTTAAACTCACATTGTCAAAATCTTAAATCTAAAATTACAGGGTCTTATAATATCACATACATGAAATAGGTTTTAACAATTTTACATAATTTTGATACACGCGCGTATAATCAAAATGCTATTCAGTACTACATGTTGCTGTTGAAGACATTTTGAAAACAAAAATTGAAAATTTTGCATTGAAGGACATTGCTTACCAAGATGAATTAATTTGTACCTGAAAGACATACAAAGCTTTACATTCAAGGTTAACACTGCTCTTCTTTTACATTGTTGGGATAAATACTCAGAATTTGCCAAAAAAATTAATTTTGCAGATTTCGGCTATCTTTTAGCATTTATAATTCGGAAATCTGTTCAGTAATAAGTCATAATATTGTGATACTTTGATTTTAAGTAATGATTACCAGACTTTTAGATAATAGTGTGAAATACCTTAAGGGGAAATAATCCCTACCTCCAATAAATCCTACACGTCAGATCAGTCTAAGATCTTCCTACACGTCAGATCAGTCTAAGATCTTCCTACACGTCATCATTTATTTATGCTGATATTCAATTCTAATAGCAGTAAAAGGAAAACAAGAGATTCTTCGACAAAAATATCAAATTTTAATTAATTTGATACAAAGGGTCACAATAAACTATTGATAGTGTTTGAAAATACACATTTCTGATATTTTAGTCTTGTTCAAGGATTTATAACTAACATACATCCTTGGTCTCGTTGAAGGAGTGTTGAGATAAAGAATAGTTCAGTTAATTATCTTTGGGATAGGGGATATTTCTATTTTCAGGAATGGGGATATTTCTATTTTAGGATTGGGAATATTTCTATTTTTAGGATAGGGGATATTTCTATTTTCAGGAATGGGGATGGGAATATTTCTATTTTTAGGATAGGGGATATTTCTATTTTTAGGATAGGGGACATTTCTAATTGTGAAAGTTTCTATTCATTTAATTGTCTTTATGATAGGGGATATTTCCATTTTAAGGATATTGTGTTTTTCAGGGATATTAAATATTTTTAAAGACTTTTATGGATATTCAATGTTGAATTTTAGAGAGATATAAGATATAAAGTATCTGTTACACATGACCTTTTACACCATCATTTCAACCAGGAAAATTGTCCATTCCTCACTCAAGCATAAGGCTGTCTTCACAGATATCTAATTGACAATCATTAAAATTGACCCCCCCCCCCCCCCCCCACCCCTCCCATCTCCTTTCTCCCCAATAAAAACATATTTATCTACTACAAATTGTGAATTACCAATGTAAAATATAACCAATCTATTCTTTCTACAAATCTGAGGTTTTATTGATACCTATTACTAGATACGGAACAGAAGAATCAATTATTCATATGTGAAACACTAATAAGTAGTACTGATAACTTGATTTTTATAATTACTATTTGTCATAACTAGCACTGAGGGAATAATTAGTTCTTATCAAGGTATTAACTGAATAATCTATTACCAAATAACTACTGACATAAAAATAAGGAGATGTGGTATAATTGCCAATGAGACAACTATCCACCAGAGTTGAAATGAATTAGATGTAAGCAATTATTGGCTTATATGGGTATATTTTGGAATCAATACTAGGAAGCTAGGTAAATTTTACATCTAATTATAATCTTCATCTGAATTATTTTGAAAAGTCAATTCTAATATCAACTATTTCAGATATATGTTCCATATTCAAATTATTAACTACTTAGGATATATGTGCCATATTCAAATCATCAACTACTTAAGATATATGTTCCATATTCAAATTATCAACTACTTAGGATATATGTTCCATATTCAAATTATCAACTACTTAGGATATATGTTCCATATTCAAATTATCAACTACTTAAGATATATGTTCCTTATTCAAATTAACAATTACGTAGGATATAATTGTTCCATAATCAAATTAGCAACTGTTCCTTATTCAAATTATCAACTACTTCGGATATATGTTCCATAATCAAATTATCAACTACTTAAGATATATGTTCCTTATTCAAATTATCAACTACTCAGGATATATGTTCCATATTCAAATTATCAACTACTTAAGATATATGTTCCTTATTCAAATTATCAACTAAACTTTTAAAACTTGCAGTACATGGCAAAACATTATCATACTTATAGATGACTTTCAAATTCATGCATTTTCCTGTACATTTCCTATGTCACAATGATTATGTTATGACATTACAGAAATAACTCATTGTTCAATTACGTTATTTATGCTGATTGACCTTGGGTCAATGGGTGTAACTCATTCATAAAAAAACAAATCGAGGTTGGTCTATACAAGTAGGCCTCACTTTTTTTGTCTTTTTATTGCTTACATTTATACTATATGGATATATACATTTCAATTTAAACAAAGTCCAGAGATTTGATGACACCTAAAAATAGATCTCTTTGAGTATAATTAAAAAAGGGTTTGTTTTTATGACCTTAACAACCTTTTAATAAGTAACAAATACTGCATAAAAACTTATAAAATAATCCTAAAAACATTATTTAAATGAGATCAATTTTCATTGTTATAAATCCAAAATACAATCAGTTTAAAACTGTTGATATATATCAGCAATACAGAATTAATTTCAGGATCTGAAATTGAAACGAGGATATCTATTAATCGAGGACTGACGTCACATGTACGTCAGTGCTCTATTTTGAACAAGAATTGCTATTGAATTGAGTTTCATTAGACAAACATTATTTATCAAACTTGTTGAAATCCTTGATAATTAAGTTATTTGTGACAATTAGAATTTAAAATTCAAAATGCATTATAACAATCAATATTTGTTTAAAAATATCCTTGGAAGAATAAATGTTTTGACTGGTAGGGCCTTAAGATCACAGGATTGAGTATCAAAATGACTAAATATAGAAAATCTGAAGCAAAGCTGGGAAGAGATTTGTTAAGACATTATACTACTGTTTCATTTAAAAAGATTTTATTGCATGTCATAAGGCAAAAGGTATATGTCTCATTAAACCAAACTACCGGTTAACCAGATCATGATATACATATACTAGTATACATTTTATGCAAAACGATTCTTAATCCATATAACACTACACAGAGTTTCGTATGAAAATTAATAACAGCTAATGGTACATTGCAAGTCTGCATAGTCCCATTCCACATACTATTGTAATTTAATTTGGCTTGTAAAGAATTATTTTATTAAATAGTGGAATCAGCCTAAAATATATGTTATTTTAACGTATTCTATTGTCTTATGGAAAAAGTGAAAACCTGTGGTGTTATATAGATTTATTACTTACGTTTGATAATGACTACAGTTTCCTCCCTTGACAAACTACTGAATCTTCCTGCACTTTTCATAATTTGGACATCTGACGAAGATATCTGTAAAAAATAACATCCCAAACTGCACTGGTTTTAAGAATTATAGCTCATTTTTAAAAACCTCTTTACATATAATACGTATTCTGCAGAAGATATGAGAGCTCCAGTTAGCTGAGAAGTTTGTACTTTTCTTACAGATGGGACAGAAAGAACAAGAAATATTCAAATCATTCAATGTAAGTCTACAGAATGGGGGCAAATAAGAGCATGAATGGTCCTTTATAAGTGAGTTTATTGAAACAGAAAACACAACAGAAGGGATAAGATTGTTTGGCCATTGAAGATCCAAAAGTACAACAAATCTATCAAATAACATCCTTTCTGATGTTTACAAGGCACCATATAGTCTGTCTGAGATCAGTATTTATATTTTTGAATTTTGTCTGACAGATTTGTGATATGGCGTCCAACTTCTTACATTTAATGCAAAACTGCAAAATCAGCCAAAAACAGCCATATTTCTAAGATCTTCCACTAATATTTAAATATATGTTGCTAGGCTTTATCCAAAAAGATATGTCTTTCTTATCCTTAGATGTTTATGTGGGTAAAATATCTTTTTGGGTAAGGCCTCTCCTCATTACTTATTTTTAAACCAAACTGTGTGCAAAATGGCCATGTTAGGAGGGAAAAAATCAACTTTACCATGTTTATGATTTCATAGTGACATCGCATCATAACTGACCTGTCCAGAGTATACCATCTTTTATTATTTATGAGCTGAAACATATTTTGAAAGTGTTGAAGAATCTTATACTTTTTAAAAATTTAGGGACTGAGTAATGACTCTTATCATTTCTTCCTTTTCTCCTTAAAAAATATTAGTATAAATGAGGCTATAGGGGTCTTTTAACACTAAATCAGAAAACAAAATAACTTAAAGAAAACAGATCCTGTTACTGCAGCTATTGCACTTTGAAGTTAATTCTAGATTCAAATTCTTAGGACTCAAACACATAAATTTCCTTTGTTATTAGAACAATGTGCACATTCTTTTCTGGTAAACGACTGTGCATAGTTATTAATACAAATCACTTGATTTAATCCTCCACAAAACAGATAGGATAAAAATGTTAATTCTGGTGACAATGCAGGTCTACCATAAAAATACTCACAACAGTGATTCGTCGCTATAAACAGGTATAAAATATATGTAGAACAAATAACTTATGCCGTATATAATCTCAAGTGTTGGATTCTCCAAACTTGAAAATTCAGTAGGAGCATGTATTGCAGTGTAATTAAACTTCTACATATTATTAAGTTGTACAAATAAATTATGCAAGGACAAATAATCAGAGTAACAACTTTTTCAATATGTCCAATACAGCACGTTATTGAGTCATCACAGTAAAAAATGCATTTATGCTCACTATCAGTAGTTATGCTCACTAATCTAGGACAAAATTATGGACAAGGGGAAATTTCAATGTGAAATAAACATAGACTAAGAACACCAATAGGTACCTGAAGTGCAACTGTTGTCCCCACATGATAAATTTAGTGAAACAATACATAAACAACTTATTTTCAAAGACTTTGTTCAAACAATTAGCACATCAAGCTTACTATACTTTGATCCAGAAATGAACGTGGCTGAAATAGATAATAATCAATGAGATAAAACAGTTGTTGAATGCTGTAATTTAGTATACGCTTTCCAAAAAAGCATGGCTGACCTCAGAATTTGTCCTTTTTCTTTACCAAATTATATCTAATATCTTGAAAACTTCAAATATTTACTGATCAAGTTTTAGTATAGTTAAGGAAAGAAATTCAATGAACTATTACACAAAAATAAATTTCTATGGTTTGGCAAAGCTTTTTTTTCATTTTTATTATGTTAGTTTAAGTTTGAAGGAAGCTGGTAATTGGATCCTGGAATAAATCAATTATTTTCATGGAAATGTGTAAGATCAAAGAAGTGTTTGTAAATAAAAGAATTTAAGTTATTATCCAAGACTTGCTAAATCTATACTAGTCCTATCCAAAGAGGCAACAAAGGTGTGAACTGTGAAGTGCAGTTTTCAATTCTGTCTGCACTTTGAATATCTAAAGCTACTCATAGTCTAAGACACATTATTAGTGCAATATTAATTTGTTCTGATGTCCAAAATTTGAAAGATTACAAAGCACCCTAGCAGAGGGAAATTATGGTATTATAAATTATTTCAACCATAAAAGAAACCCCAGCATTTAAAATGTTATCCTTCTTACGGTATTTTTTATCTGAAATAGTAATATTCATAAATCATCTTTAAATTTCAAAGTTTTAAGTGTTGACATAAAATAATTAAAAAATTGTGACTGTCTGTATATAAGTAAATTTGTCAAACAGCAAGCATGTAAATATCTTCAAAACAAGTAACGGTTTATTTAACGTTGTCTACTTAATCTGATGGTAAATATTTATCTACAACAGGCTGGAAGATCACTTGGCACTTGTGATTCACATTAACATATAAAGGTGGTTACAACACACTACAGTAACAGAGAGGTGAAGACTCATTTATTCAATGTTGACAAAACTAAATACTGTGGACTTATTATTATTCGTTGGATACCAATTTTCGTGGATTTCATGGGTACAGGGAAACCACGAATTTGAATGTTCAACGAATTACAAATGTTCCATAGAAATATATGTTGCCTAAAGCAAAACCCTGAATTCAAATATGCACGAAAATGGAAGTTTTCCTCAATCCACAAAAATTGGTACCCACGAAACTAAATGACCCGCAGTAGAATCATCTTGAATAAAACAAGGATTATAATAGTAAAAAAACTATATAAAGTCTTATAAGCTCTGTAGAACATTCTTATGTTACCATCATTAACAGGTAGAATACAACAAACCAACTATTTCTATGTCATTTGGTCTCTTGTGGAGAGTTGTCTCATTGGCAATCTTACCACATCTTCTTATTTTTATATATCCAAAAGGGAAACCCAATAATGAAATCCACAATGTGACAATACAGAGACAAGACATGATAAAAGGCAGGTATACAAGACAATACAGAAACAAGACATACTAAGTATATAAGACAAGGTTTATATGAACAGGAAACACTTTAAATTTTAACAAAATTAATCCAAATCCAAGCCAGGAATAATGAATAAAAGGAGAAGTTGGCAAATGTCAATGAGAGAGGAAACCCAACAAGAAATTAACCAAAAAAACATCTAGAGGTCAATAACAGGGATTACTCATTAACCTGTAGCACTTATTACATTTGTTTAGAAATAAACTGTTTACACAGAGATGTATGTCTCGCCTGTGTGTTGTTTCTATTGTATAATGCAAACATTGAAATTTAAATGGCAACACTTTAATATATACATATAACAAAAGTTTCAAATTAAATTGATCCTGACTAAGTGGGTGTGGTCAAATGGACTCAATGGAAATGAGATGTGCCAATGATAATACAACTGCATACTAAATATCATCAAATATCACTAAACCCCTAAATTGACATAAATTGTTGATGCAGCAGACTTTTCCAGAAACACTGCAACTAAGTCTTGCCGTAACCCAACTTCTTTTAGGTGAGACAACAATACCATATCTAAGGATTTATATATGATTTTGATTCCCTTTTTATTCTCATTTCTTAACCTATGGAGCTATAATTAGTCAAATGATTACTGGTAACTGGAAGTCATCAAGGAGCAGCAAACCAAATATTCCTATATATAATAAGCTTGTACCAAAAGTTACAGCTTCACAGCAATATTTGTCTTTATCTTTGTGAAGAGGACAATCATACAACTGAGTTTTAGTAGGAAGACAGCATGGATGTTAAAACATAGATAAAGGATGTGCTATAATATGTACATTTACAGGGTGCTCAGCTAAGATGTAACATACATGACATTACAGCATTTCAGCAAGAAATGTAACATTTACACACTATTTCAGTAACTTACATGTGTCAATCCACCCTGTGTATTGTAAAGTTAAAATGTATAATGCATTTCATGATATTACATACAAGAAACATTACTTGTGTCTTAATCTTTAATGGTGGCTCTATAGCCAGGCTTGAGAGAGTATGGACACCTGTTTTTAAACGACTACCGGTATATGTTGTCCTCTACTTTTATAAACTTTAGATGTTGTTTGGTTCTTTTTGTCATTGGGTTGCTGTCTCATTGACATTTAATCAATATCAAAAGTGATTTATTTTTGAACTCTTATTTTATCATATGTATTTGTTAGGTAATATTTTTCTTCATTATATGTTGGGTGTGCATGTGTATGGCTTTTCTATGTTATTGTCAAGAGCTTTAATAAATCTAGTTATGTACAGGAAGAACATTTGCAAGCATTTTTTTTGTGAAAATACATAGTTTTAGTTGATTGTTTAACGACTTTCCTATTATGGACTAAAATTACAAGAATCAACTACATAATTTTACCACAGTCTCTGTCTACATGAACTATTCTCTCTTGAAATATTTGTAAGGTTCTTGCATGCACTAGATCATTTGTGTTAAAAATTTTTTTATCTCAAAACTGAGAAGAAATGTTTGTTTTTTAGATAAAAAATAAATTGATGCTTTTATTTAGCGTACTATCATGTATTCATATTAATTGAAAGACATCCAAGTTAAGATTCAACATACAACTATTTTCAAATATTTCATAAAGCCCTTAACAGACATCCAGACTGGAAGTTCTTGTTCCTTATATAATCAAATGATTTTGTGGGTCTACTTCGCAGCAGGATGATTATTTCCTAACAACGAATAAAAATTTAGTAAAATGTAGATTTAAGTTACATAAATGGCCTTATATACAATTTAATTATACTGTTTTTATTGCATTAAATGCATGACAAAATGTTCGTCTATCATCCAAATTTATCAAAATGTGACAACTACAGATTTTATCGAAAACAAATTAGCTCTTTTTCAATCCAAACTTAATCTGTTTTGGATCAGTAACTATGTTGGAATTATTTAATACAAGGATCATATTATTAAATAAATCCTTCGTGTTTTATTGTGTAGTAATAAAAATCCCTAATTAGACTTTAATTTGCTGGTAACAATAGCAAGTCACACATAAAAATCAATGGATAACCCAAGGTATCTTGTTAAACATTTCCACATTATTGCCATATTTCCGCCATTTGACATTTATGTATTGCCAATTGGTAGAATCATGAGATTAAATAAATTGGGACAATTTCACCCAGTAAATTTTAATGAATTATTCAGTTATAAGGAGACTCGCAGCAATTAAGATAAAAATGGGCTTAAAAATGCAAAATATTTAATTTTATAATGATATTTTTGTAAAATTCAGGATGCCATGTTTAAATGACCTAAATTCTTACATAGTTGTATAATAAGGAACATACAGTACCAGGTGTGGTTCACCTCTGACCCTATTACAGGACACCTGGGACAACAGCCTTTTGTGTCCATTAAATACTTATCAATTATGATTATGAATTATCTTGATCAAAGAGTGGCCAATTCTGAGTAGTAACAGACATATTTACCAGTGTACCAATGAAATATATTTTCTATTTGAATGTAAACATAAGTATGTACAAATGTATATATATATTATGTGCACTTGTCAATTATCAAACACTATTTTTAATGGTTATGCTGTTGGGTTACTGTCTCACTGAGGCTTACCCACTATCTTTTTTCATTCACATTTTTTCAATAAAGCACAATAATTTAATTGATGAAGCATTTTTTCTCTTTAAAAAATGCGACAAAAAAACAAGATTGTAATATCTTTTTCTCCTAAAAATCTATGACTTTTCAATCCAAACGAATTAAATCAAGATAAATAAAAATTTGAGACAGCTGGAAAAAAAAGAAAGAAAAAAAAATAGTTTGATTGAAAAAATGAAAAGCAAGTTCACATGTCAAACGAAAATGAAAAGCAAGTTCACATGTCAAACGAAAATGAAAAGCAAGTTCCCATGTCAAACGAAATTAAATCTTAATCCATTTATTAATCTAGGAGTAAAGAAGTCTGGTTAAAAGTAAGGAAACACAGCAAACACTTTAGAACTCCCAGACTTTGTTATGAATAAAACATTTGAACCTTAGTATCACTTACATTTAATTCTTTGGATTTAGATGTCTTCTTTTCATAGACTGGTTCCTGGCTGAGAGATCCTGTTCCTGAGTCTGCTTTGCGTGGATTAGAGTCACTATCCCAACTGACGTTGTCCCCTTCATCTCTAGGTGTATCTTTTCCATTTGATTGGGAGCTACCTTTGCTTTCCACAGAATAACCACTGTCCTTACTGGGCATTTTAACCATAGGATTCCTACCTTTTCCATATTTGATAAGCGGTTCACCATTTGTTGTATCAGATTTTTTGTCATTTTTATCATTTTTTGTACCAGAATCTTTTTGGTCTTTATTAAGGATCCCTGTTTTATTTTTTCGATGTCCTGGATTCCATTTTTGAGCAGCTTTTGTGGCACTTGTTAGTTCCTTTAGCTTTTGTTTTTCTCTTTCTTTCTGTTTCTTTTCATTGTCTGCTTTTTCCTATAAGAAATAACAAATGATATTTAAGAAATTCCCTTCATCTCTCCTATGACTGCTGTTGTTAATGTAAAGGTGTCATGACTGCCAAAAGAAGCCTATGCTTGTTAATCAGTTAAATTCAGAAAATAAATAATAAAAAATATAAATTTTGCTCAGTGTTACCACTTGATCATGAAAAAACTTCTGTGAAGGTTGGGTAGTGAAATTTTGAAAATTAAAATAAAAAAAAGCTTATCATAATGATCTGAAGAATAGCTTCTGTAAAAGTTCCTTAAATTCCAGGATTGTATGAAAAAGGTTAATGACGTTTTAAAAACTATAACCTTAGACTGTATCTGAATGGGTTAACTAAAACAAGTCCAGTTAAACAGTAAAATATAGGGGGAAAATTAGAAATAAAAGTTTTCTTCTGATTCTTTATCTCAAACATTATAAGAAGTTTCTGTTCAAACTTTTCTCTTTCTTTCCTTTTCTTCTTAAATTAAAGTTTAAAGGACAAACGGTTTCTAAGTTGAGAAGCAAATTAAATAAAAGTTGTAATGATTGATGTTATTTAATAAAGTTTAGCCAGAAAGAATCAAACAAAAACATTTACTCAATAATCGTTTAGCACAAATATTATTTCAAGGGATTACACCTAAAAAGAAAACTTTGTTAATCTGACACATCAAAAAGACCTGAAAGTCCAATGGATATTCTATTCTTATAATTTAGTTTGTAATCTATATATTCAATACAAAGAATTATATTATGCAAAAGATTCGTTCAATGACATAGTATTTCAGACAGTATACATAACAATATCTGGTTAATGATCCTGTCTCATGTGAACTTTATTCATGAGATTCTGTAAAATTTATTACATCAAACTGATAATCAATATGAAAAAAAGCAACATTAATTATCTTTCTCATTAATGTTTCAAATCTATATGAAGTTTAATTTTGATATTTAAACGGTTGGAGACAATTCGTTCAACATTGATTTACAATTATGTTCTACACAACACCGGGAACACAGATACGTAATTATTTAATTTCCTTCTTGGTAATGCAATGCCATTCACAAATTGCATTTTTTTACTTCTGTAATTATTCCAGACATCAATCAATATACAAAACAATAATTACTAAATTGTCCTAAAAATATTATGTTTATTTCTGTCCAAATGAATCTCAGACGAGAGGTTTTAATTTCACATACAAACAATTGACCTTATTTCCAACCATCACACTCCAATATAGCACAAAATAATTGTAATCACACAATATTCCATATTCCAGTATTATTAAATCATAAAAGCTGCAGAAACATAAAACACTAGGTCTAAAGAAAATACATGCAAAATATCTGAATAAGGAAATGTAGAGAAGGCATTTTTGAAATATATATATACCTTGGCAAATTTTTTGTTAAATTCAAAGGGAGACAATTTTCATGCAAAGTTACTTCCATTCAAAACATGTTAGGTAAATCTCAAGCTGGTGATGGAAAGTTTCCCAAAATAGGAAAATAAATTCTGAAACAGTCATATTATCATACAAAAATATGCTGTCAAAGAATAGCTAGTTATTTTTTTCACGAAAGGGTATCCCAGAAAACATGCTACAATTTGGACCATCACCAAAGAGACAAAAAAAATAATTATTTTGTAATTTCATTCATATAGCTATTAATTCATAATACCTTTTTCTCGTCCTCATGCTTTTGCTGCATTGACAAAAATAAAATTTACAAATATATTTATTCATCATGAAGATTTTTTTCTTTATATAATATTTCGTTATTTTATTTTACCACCAATGAATTAAGGAACAACCTTCCATGTTTAAGAAAGAAGCAATGTTTTCTATTCTTTATTTTTTATTTCATTCTATCCAAAATAAAACTAATATGAAATAAATTACAATACTTGAAAAGTTACAAACATGTAGAAATTATTCCATTTTTTTCAGAAACAAATTGATTCAAACTTTTAAAAAAATTCCTGTTATTGTATAAAAATATCAAAAAGTTTTATTTGATTTATAAATTCTGGTTAAAACATTTTTTATTGCCTCAACATTAAGTAGTTGCTTCCTTAATTAAAATATAGTTACATATCCGTATAAGCATCAGTAATGTCCTAAAAACTTCATTTTTGTGATTTTTTAAATATATTGTAGAGCAAGACAAAATTTTAGCCAATTTCATTATTGTTTATAAGATGTCGCAATTTGATTTTTTTATTACTTGAAAAATAAAAGGTTTTTTTTGTTATTCAATATACATTTGTATATATATGAAAATTATGAATTTCAAAAATTTCATTTTATGCATAACCTCAATAGTTATGCACAGGTTAACATTCAATTTACATTATGCCTTGTTTAGTTGCATATCTGCACAGCTATGTGTAAATAAAATTCTATAATCATTTCAACAAATACTAGTTATTTTTTAAAACTGTTCACATAAATGTTACTGACTCAACAGAACTAAAATATTTCAAATAACACCAAACTAGCTTCTAGAACTGAATCAACATTGTGGGGGAAACATTCTATAGTTCAGCCATTTTCAAATTGTTTTATCTACAGAATAGGTTTGTAATATTGGATACAGTGAATAGAATTATTGTGTACAACATGTTTCATTATCAGTTACATCTTCTCTAATGTTTGAAAAAGAAAGAATTATGTCTGAAATTTTGATATTAAAAATAAACAGCAAGGAAATATCGATACTATAATGTTCTTGTCACAATGGGAAAATTTGGGCATGAAATTGCAAAAAAAATTGTTTTGAATGTGCAACCAAATGGTGAATCTAAAAAAATAGATGTGAAACAGTTCCAGCTTTATTAAACAATAACAAAACTTTGTTGCAACCAACAAATTTGTATTTTTAATAAACATAAACCAATATCCAGACTGCATAATGATTAAAAAGCTAAAAACAATGTTTTATTGTGGATGACGATTTCTTGTAAATAAAAGGCACTGCAATATTGTAAATGAATTAACCATGCCAAATGATCTGATGATGAGACTGAACACAATCATGACAATTAACCCACAACAAAGACATTGTTTGTTCCAACATATAATCAGTCTGCATTAGACTTACCAACTCCTGTTCTTCCTATAGGTTACAAAAGGAAATGTTTTATCATTGTAAACCTTTTATGAATACTCAAACTTTTAGAAATTGAGACCGCATATGTGGCATGCAACCGTTCACTCTGTGTGCACAATGTCAATTCTGTAAAGTACTAAAGTTGCCAATATCGGCTACAAGTTATATCATATAGAGGGACAAATTAATGTTCCCTTTCATTGTTATGGCAAAGATGATGAAGGATAATGCATTTCAAACATACATTGTTCTTAATTTTGGAGATACATATTGGCTCCTTATATTATTAACAGTTAACCTTTTTACCTTTTTGTTACTGAAACATGACTGACAGACTTTATCATTTTATTAGTAAAGCATGAAAATGTTGTGGTGTTAAATGAGTTTTCAGTCTTCTTACATGTATATCTTTATGGAAAATATCCTTTAAGATATTAGGCTGCACGTCAATTATATTCTAATCTATCAGGACAACAGGAGGCAATTTTGGTCTATTTTTTTGGCAGTTTAACCATTAAGTGTTTTATGTTTGAGTGTATATTAGGCTAACACATATATATAAAACATTGACATTAAGATACTAATGACAGTCTACCTTTCTATTCATTTGATAGATATAGAATACTTTCTGATTGTAAAATTCAGGGGTAAAAAAAATTCTTATCATATCTTTTCTTTTACCATTTTTGATATAAAGTTAACAACAAAAAAACAACCCAAAAACAATGAAGACATTGATTTTTCTGTTCCTTGTGTTTTATTTGCATTTAGTTAAACACCCCCACCCCATCCCCCTCCCACAGCATTTCTATCATAACTGTGGGAAAGGTAATTTCAAAGATCATAACTAATAATAAAATTATCTACATAATGAAGGATATAAAGGAATGCAACTGAGAATTTGATTTTTTCAAAGAATATCTTTTATTGATTTAATTTTTTAAGGGCTTTGAATCTCCAGTAATGAAGCAAATATTCATTATTTATTCATTTCAAAATGTTTGCTAATCAATATAAGTTACTAATCTCTTTGTATATATCATCTGGATCTACGTCAGCGTTTCTATTTATCATTTATTAGTTAAAATTTTGTATTCTTTCACATAACAATACAATGTATATGCTAATTCAGTGTAATGGGTGAAATGAGGTGCTCTCATAAACTGAAAAAATACAATGCAAAAAAGAAAGGCCATGTTTATAAGGGTAATTTTCTTTTTTGCACCAGAGATATCACACTTACAGTATATATTTTGAAGTTTAAACAACATTATCATAACACGTTCAATAAGCATATAAAGAAACAAAAAGTAACAAAAAGTAACAAACTTTTGTGATTTTGTATCTATCTACTCAAGAGTTGACACACTGAAATGTCTCACTTGCTAAAATATAGGATTCTATTAAGGGCAATGAACTCTCAAACTGAGTTGTAACTCACAGGTCAAATGAAATCTGTTAGGGTCACAGGTTACAGGTTCATGTAATTGTAATTAATTCACATACAAAATATTTCTAACCCTTACACTTTATTGAAAAACTGGGTCAAGTAGGATGAATGGTACTGTAGTTCCATCGGAAGAACAGAGAAGTATATGATAACTAACAAAAGAAGTCAAAGCCATATGCCATGTCAGACATTTATTCCAACCAATCCATGAATGAATATAAATGACCCATCAGGTATAGTTACAGACAACATAGCTCACTGTGAAAACCTAATAATCGCTGAAGCATGAAATGAGGTCAAGGTCAGGTGACAATGTTTGACTGAAATGGTGTTATGAACCACCTTCAATCAAACTTAATCCTATATGAAGATGGGAATAAGATATTTAAGTTATTTGCAAATGATTTAAGACATTGTCCATATTACCTACCGCTGCTGACAACAGAAAAGTAGTACCAAAGTTTAATTTGACTTTCATCTCAGGCAAAACAAAAATGATTATAAAGGGCACTAATAAGCATAGTTTGGAAATTTAACACCAGTATATGGCACATCTCTTTGTTACAAGGAAAGTATCAAAATCTTGAAAAAATCTAAAATTTTAACAAGTTCATATCTTTCAAAAATTAACATTTTTTTATTTGATAATACATGTGTTACTAGTGTGTATCTCATATATTGACATGTACATACATGTATTAAAATTCCAATTACAACAGTAAGAATTTGAAAGACTATCTGTTTTATAATACATTTTTCATATTGATAAAATGTGAGAACCAATTGTCATTCCTTTATGGGGTTTAAAGCATTCAACATTGTCTTGTCTTAACCAGACATAACATACATGACATACTGGTTGGTATATTCAATTCATCAGTCAAATGAACATTATAAGAAACAGAAAAAAATATCTCCCAATTTGATATTTTTGTTTACTAAATGAGATTAAAATCAATCTCTCCCATAAAGTTTGGTGACTGATATTATTACTGAATTTTATCACTTAAATGATATAACAAAATAAAATCCTTCACATTTTAATATACTTTGGAACTTCATATCAGATTTAATTTCACCTGAATAGCACATATCGTAATTCTATTATAAATTTAAACTAAATTAATTTACTAGAATTTTTAAACACATTTTCACACCATAAATTCTTAAAAAGGTAGAAAAAAAAAATTGTGTCAATCTTAATACATGTAGCTATATAAATTTATGGGGTTTGCAACTTATTAACGTTTTACTGCATATAACAAAAGACTTTGATATATCGATAATTTACTTTCAATGTACCTAGTCACTGATCGTATCATGGCACATGTGTTTTCCAATATACTTCATCAAAGAAAACACACCTTAAAAATAAAGTTTGATATGATTTTAAGGAAATTTTTAATAATAGCTACATTTTCTATGGGCACAGCTAATTAATTTTTAAGAAACTACAAATTGATAAGTTGTACACTGTACAGTACTGAATAACTCTATCCAGGAATGTTTCAAATTAACTTTGTAGTCTAAGATGAAGAGCAAATGTAAAAGTTAATCGTTGACATCAACAGGTGATGGCAATAACTCAAACTGGCTCTATATGCCAGGTGAGCTAAAAACAAAAACAAAAGAATAAATTATTAAAAAAAATAAATAAAACTTGACATTTTCTGTAAGCAATGACTGATTGAACAAACAATAACAGTACAACATGCTACACTGATCTACGTTACATAACAACTTGTCAGAACTAACCTTTTTCTTCTGATTGCCATAAGCAGCAGAAATTGGAAGAGAGTAATGTTATTGTGGATGGTATTTAAGAAGAAATACTAAATGTTCCCTACATTTATATGAAATAACAGTTGATTGACAAGTCATATCATTTCAGTAATTCCATATACAGAAGTCTGTCCATTACATTACCTTATATTATGTCTCTAAGAGAAGTAAAAGTACTATAGTATTGATTGATTGGTGATTGCTTTACCCCACATCAGCACAAAAAAGCTATATTGCGGCTAAAGTACTATAGTACTATTAATATCTCAATAACATGTTCGTTATAGTCAGTATGTGTTGCCCAAATAGGGATAAAAAAGATTTTAATAAAGAGAATTTTATAGATATTTAAATCAAACTCAGGTTCCATGCCCTATTTTAAACTTAATATACACTGATAAATTTAATAGATAAACACAATTTATATTGGATAAGACAAACAATATGAGATAATTTTACTAAGTTGACCGACATTGAAAAATTGCATAGAGATATTGATGATCCTAATAAAAGCATGATAGCAGTGTGATCCTTTTTCATGTTGTCAACTAAAAAGCAAACTCAGCAGAAACTCACAAAACAATGAAATGAGCATAGATCAATCAAACTTAAATTTATCCTCATTTTCCTTTCATTCAATATGCAATCACCACAATAAAAGGCAAGGAACATAAAATTCCAATCAATTTTTAGCATATTGTTTAGCTTGTGAAGGTATAGAGATCAATCAGAGACAAATCACATTTAATAATTGATGAAATCAAAGCATAAAGCAAATCAATTAAATTGTATAGAACTCACTTAACATAAGCATTAGTATTCAGTCTACAGTAAAGATAACAATTAGCATTTAGTCTGAAATTTATGTAAAACATTAGCCAGTACCATTTCACTTGCGTAATAAAATGTTGGCCATGTAGTGTAAAAACTACTTTTAACTTTGTTGATGAGAAATATATACTGAAAGGACATTTGTACAATATCTTCGTTGATGCAATTTAATATTAATATAGTCTCAGTAAGTATAATCAAATTCAGGATATTTTTTAATCTGACTCTAAGACTCTCCTATTAAAGGATCATCAATTATCTTACAAAGAATTGCAAAAACTTAAATATATCCTTCAAAACTTAATGTAACCAAAGATATGAAAAAAGACATGATAATTTAATGAAATTACCATCATTTTTTCATTAGATGTAGATTTTTACTAATAAGTCTGATTAGCTGAAGAAATGGTGTCGACAGATATAAAACAAGAAAATTGTCCATATGACACCATGCCAGCTCACATTATTAGATGTTAATGTTCAGTGACGAGACAAAACCCTAATTTGGCATATATCTTAAAAAGTTCAATCATGATGAACATGTGTAATAAAAAATTGAAAACAAGACGTTTAATAATTTCATGCGTCAGAAGCACTTTTCTGGATTTACCTTCATCAGGAACGCTCAAAGCCAAACATTTGAAATCTGAGGGATGTATAAGTACCGAAACAGTTGAAGAGCTATATGACAAAAATACCTAAAACAAATAGCCAAATTCATCTAAGGTCAACTTTGCCTGAGGGAGTTGAAACCTTAGTTTCTTTATAATTTCAAAATTTATAAACAGACAATTTTAGAAAGGTTTGTTATAAATCATGTCAGTACCGAAGTAATAAGTTTCAAGTTGATGTGACCACATCTTCATGGTAACTCTACTTAAAACTTAAACCTGATAAGGGACAGACCAATGACAGACAGTTAGAACAGAAAATATAATGCCTCCTACTGTTAGACAAGGCCAAAAAAGTATTCCTAAAATTGTCTTGAAATATGAATATTTTCATAAGTATTCATAAAGTTGCTTGAAATATGAGTATTTTCATAATTCTGCTTTCTTGGACCCCTGTTCCTTGCTCTCTATAAAACTCTAAACTTTAAAGAGCTTCTACACTTGGTTGTTAGAAGCCAATACAGAACTCTTTTTCGTTTATTGCTTTATATTGATTTGGTTCCTGGTCCAGAAACATTCAAATTGATTTTCATAACCAATTAAAAGGTAATGTGTTGAATTTTCTTTATTACACTTATAACTAAGTAACTATAAGAATTAAATTAATATAAGCATTCACTTTTAATGTATTTTGCAAGTCATAGCATTAGCTCATGCAGTAACTGTAAAAGGCCACCTGTCTTTTTCTCTTCTGCCCCTTCTAGAATAAGTCAGAATTAAAAAGTTAGCTGGTTAGGGATATGTACTGCCACTATTTCAAGAATATCAATAAATTGGAATGCTTTGCATTTTAAAATTTCCTAGACAAAACAAGAAAGACTTATATTTCTCAGTAAAGAATAAATAAAAAATAAATACTGGGACACAAAACCTCCCCCTTTTTTTACCTCATTATTTCAAAGCTATCACAACGCATATATGTATGTATGAAGAAAGATGTTATAGTCTATATGAATTTTTGAGGGTCACATGACAGTCCCGATACAAATGAACAGACTATATACTATCAAAGCGACTGACTTGTATGAAAGTTTAATTATTATGAGAGAATCAACCATAGCACACAAGATGGCAAAATAACATTCACAAAAGCAATATCTAACAGCCAAATCTAACAGCCAAATCTAACATATAGCTTTTTTATAGTCCTATAAAAACAAGGGGAAAATTTAAGAATCCTGAACTTAAACAGATGTTAAGACTGTTTTGTTTATGAAGGTTCTTCCGGGTGGGGAAAATAATCTTCTATGAGTAAGCTGTTTATATTGCCATCAAACACTAAGAAGATGGCAGGTCTTTCAAATGTTAACCCTTATTTCTACAAAACATGATAATTGTATGAAATCAATAGTACAGTGTATTGCCAAAAGCATAAGTAGTTAAGTGTGGAAATTTTCAAGCCAGGGTTAAAGTATCAGTATTGGTGTGAATGGCTAACTTAATGTAGCGCAAATATAACTAATGTGCAAAAAAGTTTATTCATTGAAATTGCGAAAAATGAACAACCAAAGAAATATGCAGTACAGTGTTTACAGTACAAACATGTAATACATTGTATTCCAAATTTCACCAAATCTTACTTCCATTTTCAAGAAAATTTCTCCCGATTTAGAATTACTTGTAGTTTTATATGATTTTATCATCAATCTATACAATTTTTATATGAGAAATTATTTGAGTAAAGCACAAAACTAATATTTTGTTTTCATGGTAACCTTGACCTCAGATTTAAAGTTATGGCAGTTTTTCTGTTAATATATGTTAGGATACTGCTTATATACCAAATTTAAGTGAAACATTCATGAAAAAAACCCAAAAGGTTTTGGATGCAGATTTTTTTATCTATCTGAAAAAAAAAATGAATTGAAATGAAGTATAGTGAACAAATGTATTAGGTTTGCCAAATGGCAACAAACTGTGAAAGTTAGAATTTTAAGGAAGGATTTTATTTGTGCTGGTATTTCATGGTGCATGGTGAACAACAGTTTTAATGGTGACTACCTGCTCTTCCTTAAGTATTGATTAGCATGAAAAACATATCAGATTTATAATAATCAGGCTAACTTTATAAAGTTAAGACATCTTCTTGATTAAAACTCTATGATTATCAAATATGATGCTACAAAGGCAAAGTCCATATGTCTAGATTATTAATTCTTGAGTACATACTGTAAGGTTCCATATATAAAAACTGCTCTACCAAAGAGTATGTCTTATAAAATGATGCCTAGGCTGTCTACAGAATTTTTTCATTCATAAAATATGCATAGCTTTCTAAAGAAATTATGCCACATTACTATGTAAGCAGATTTAAGTCACTATAAAATAACATTTCTCGCTAAAAAGCACAATCTCAGAAAAATGAAGCTGAAGTAACTTATTTTTGCCACAGTCACAAAATGACTGATGTCATATGATGTACTAAATAAATATACTTCTTTATCATTGATCTCCATGCTTTTTTCTAATAAATTATGTTTTCAATTAAATTTTTTATCATTCTTCTGATCAACTTTACATTTTAGTTATACATTAAAAAACAAGTTGCACAGAGAATCAAAAGAAATGATCTTGTTCCACTATAAATATCTTTTTTTTTTATCAAAAGAAAAACATATGAGATTTGTAAATGCAATTTAAGAACATTTTGAAAATAAAAAAAAAAAACGCTTTCATAATTTGAAATATTATTTCCCATTAATGCAATATTTATCTGATTACAACATTCTTAATCATACAAAGCATGTTAAAATTTCTGAAATTACAGTATGGAGACATTTAAAAAATATTTAAAGCTTATAAAGTTAACAGTCAACTCCACTCATTTTGATGAGGTAAAGTCAATCAATAATAGAAAAGTTGCATTCTCATTTTTAGAGATTGTGAAATAAACATGCATAATACCTCATGCTTCCCTGGAAGTGATACTTAAGTAATCTAACAGTGCATTATTTAACACTGAAGCAAAATATATCTAAAGTCAACTTGAAATAAAATGTTAATGTGAGAATTCCTAAAATTTTTAACCTCTAGTGATTTCTATTTGAAACAGACTCAATACATAAATAGAATAATAAAACATGTAAATAGTCCATGTAACAACAGGAATTTTCTCAAAGAATTACATTATTTTAAGTTAGATTATACATGTATAATCCAAAGTATCTAAATTAAATAACAGATTAAAAAAAATATTTATTTTATAACAAAAACCTGCTAAAACAACCAAATAAGGCATCTAAATTGTTTCTTTCAGCAGATTTTCTAATAAATGAGTCTGTTACTGAAATCATGTAAAATTAAACAAATAAAGTTTATTTTCTTCCACAATCTAATAATGCACTGTTTCTGCAGAGAGTCAATTTAGATACTATAGTTAAACATTGACATAATAAAAAGTATGGAAGAGGAAATACCAGGGGCAAGGATCTTTTTCCAAAACGCCACATCTGAAAATTTACATGAATATCTAATAAAATAAACGTGAGTAAATGAAAATAGTGAAATAATTCAACATAAAATATAATGCACAAACTGTTATTGATGAAGTGAATAATATAACAATATGAACAAAACTCAAGTGCAAGGAAATGATGACTGTTTAAACTTTACAGGAGAACTTGATTAATCTAATATATATATATATAAAGCCGACATTATTATTAATATACAAATCTGAAATTAATGTTAGTTCAGTATAAATATATATATATATCTTAAAATGGAAAATAAGCAACAACAAAAAATAATGTGGAAATCTACAGTAAAAGTAAATTCAAAGCAAATAAATTCTACATTAAAACATTAAGTTTATATTATGATTATTTTATTCTTACCTTCCCTGCACTGACAGCCTCTTCTTGATAGGACATAGCCACAACAGCTAACATCAAGTTTATCAGGTAAAAAGATCCAAAGAATACAACAATAACGAAGAACAACACGTTCCATGGACCAGAGGCACGGATGATCTGAAAAATAGGAAAATTAGATATATAGATCAGTTCACAGACCAAGCACTTGGAATCTGAAAAATCGTAACATTAGATAGATCAGTCCATACTGGCTAGAGACTCAGGTCAATTAAACTTAATACATTAAATAGGTCAGTTCTTGGACCCAAGGTTTCCAGTGATCTTCAAACTTTAATATCATTAAATAAGTACAGTTGCATATTCCTACAACAAGATACATTCACCTTAAATTTGTTGTCTAGTTGATGTACCCCATACTTCCTGTTATTTGAATTGAAGAAAACAAATTATAACTGAGATAACTTATAGTACTGCAGAAATGTATTTAACTAGTTAAGGTAAACAAAAACAAGTGAAACAGTCAATTCCTTCTATATAACCATTTATATAAACAAGAAAACAACTGACATGTCAGCAAGGTCCCCGCTCGTAAATTTGTGAGAGGCACAGACACAAATAACTATACTGATGCAAACAAAGCAAGTCACCACTCTCTTTCAACCTTTTGCTGCTATGTGATAAGAATGGAAAATATGCTACATAGCATATGTCTTCCAGCAAAAGATTGGCATAGCCAAGTTATAGTGCATAGTTAAAATCACAAACACCATTTATAATGGTCCAGATACCTTTAACCAACTATGCAGGCAAGAGTCACCACACATTTTCAACCTTGTCCTATTTACAAGAATGGATGGAAAGCAAAAGATTTGCAAAGCTTAGTTACAGTGCATAGTAAAAAAATTGATTAAAAAAATAATTAGCTTGAAATATCAAAACCTAGAATTTATATACTTTTGCACCAATTTGAAAAAGATGCCCGACAGATAAGAATTTCAATTTTGACCCAAAACAAGTTTTGAATGCAAAGTTTACACATGGAATCAATTTGGAATAGTATATCATACCTATATATAAATTTATATTGTAATCCTAACAAAGAAAGAAGTATCACAAAATTAATGATAAAATTTGTTATTTTTAAACAAAATCTAAGTTTATTTTTCAAAACCAATGAGCCGAATTTCACCAAAATATAACATGCACTTCTACATATCATACACAACAGTGCAAAATTTCTTACATACAATTTTGGAGCTTTTGTGTTAACAAAAATTGTTGACGAACAGATGGACAGACAGACAAAGTGAAAACTAATAGGACTCCTGCATCCTTGATGAGGGGCCCTAACTTGATCCAGGAGCCCTAATTATAAAGCCTAGGTCCAAATATGAATTATTCTTAAATAGCTCTCAATATTCACTTGCACTTCTAAAAAGTAGTTCTCATTTGCTTTGTAACTAGCTGCTCTATTGTAAAATAAGCCTTTATAAGCTGCTAACACTGGCATGAACATATACATTTACCTACTGTTACATATTCAGGTATGAAAATAAAATATATAAATAATATTGCAAGGAAAAATGCATAAATATCAACTGCTCCCCAACATGATTTTTTTGATTTGTTGAATTTTCTTTTAATTTAAATTCCTATTGTAAGATAATTATAGACGTATTTCTATTAGGGGGATACAGTAACTAGCTGGCAGATTCTGTTAAAACATGTATAACATGAAGGAAATATGGATTAGTAAATTATGTCGAAAAACAATTGTCAATGAAACAAGACTAACAGCTTTCTTTTCATGGCTGTTGCTGAAAAGCCATTGGAATGTTTCTAATTTCAAATAACAACATGATTTTTCACCATATAAAGTATTTTTGTTGATGGCAAAACTTTAATAATCTCAAAATTTATTCACATCTTATTTTAACTTGAAATGGTCGACTTATGGTGCAAACACTTGTCTTTTATTGAAGACCATATTGAATCTTTTTCTTTTTAAATTTTTAGTTTCTTGGATTGCTTTCCTTTTGAAATCTTTTTACTTAACACATGCAATAGTGATTTTATAAACAGGTACATTTGTATTAATATCAAACAGTCTCTTACCTTGTTATATGAGTCTTCCCAGAAGTCCAGAGTAATGAGCTGAAATGATGTTAACATGGCCCAACCAAAATGGTCAAAACTAGTGTAACCAAAATTGGGATTCTCTCCGATGTCTGGTAAACATGTATAGCCACTATTACATTGCCTGAAGAAAAGCAAAATTTACCACACTAGAGTAAAGTCCTCTTCGGTAAAAAACTAAATTTACAAGCTTCAAAGGAATTGTGTATTTACTGTATAGGGCTACATAGGTTACTTATTTAACATCTGGTTACAACAAACTTGAATCATTGAAGTCAGATCCAGATGGAGAGGGTCAAAATAGCAAAATGTCGAAAATCCATGGGAAAATGTAAAACCTAGACACTCTAAAGACAACATAGTGTAGAACACAATCAAACAGGTTATATCATAAAACTTATTAAGGTATTGAATATCTTATAAAAATAGGAGTGATCAGATTGTCAGAATAGTTCAAAATGTGTGGACTGTACACAGTTCAAAATGCTGTACTGCCCAGACTCTGTCATGTATTCATTAAGGCAAGCCTTTACAGTCAGTATAAAAAATCTAGTGTAAGAGTGATGCTCATTAGAGAAATATGTGTCCAAATACTGAGTAATGGTCAAACACCTTTAAAAGACAGTCTAAAGCTTCATCAATGGTGAATATTAACCTAATCTAAATAGAAGAGTTAATGGGGTATAAGAAAGCAGTATTACTACCACCTTGGTATCTTGTTTCTTCTTTGCTCAATGAAGGGAAGCAACTCTACTTTGTGTAAGTGTGACATGTGAAAACCATTAAAGAAGACCTCAGTTTATTACTTAAAAAGAAATTCACTTTTGGAAAACTGAAAACGTTTTTCATATACTAATAGGTATATATATAGGTATATGTCAAGGTATAAAGAAAACTTGTGTCAATTACTTTTTTCTTTCTTTTATTTTTACTTAAGAGTATTTTAAAACCTTAGAACCACTAAAAACTTAACATATACAAGGAATAGATGTGAACAAAGTTCATAGGTACTATATTGCATATGCACTTTTTATATTCTACAGACAACTATATGGTACAAGGTTAAGTGTTTTGTTAAATAATAAATGAGCAACAAGGTCATGGAGAGTTAACATAGTCTTGGTCGACAATGGTAAAATGAATGTTATCATAAAAATTATACCCACTGGAATTCACCATATCATGTCTTCCTGGTTGAATATAGTTTATACTAAACTCACTTATATGAAGATGCAAGATCGTACAAAAACAATGACTTTTCCACTATAAACAAATGATGTGGTACATTTAACACTTCAAACTAAAAAAATATATACTGCTGTCCAAATATTTATACAAATATTGAGAAGAGAAATACACCTAATCCCTCTGTATGTATGGGCAGAATAGGACTTTTAAATCATATTATCAAATCTGCCCATCATTTTAGTGTTATCCTATACAATCAGACCAATCAGACTTGTGTAACTTGTCCAAAAAAATCAGATTTAGTTTCAAAACTTGTCCAAAACTATCAGACTTGGGTAACTTGTCCAAACCAATCAGACTTGGGGACTTGTCCAAACCAATCAGACTTGATTAACTTGTCCAAACCAATCAGACTTGGGTAACTTGTCCAAACCAATCAGACTTGGGGACTTGTCCAAACCAATCACAATTGGGTAACTTGTCCAAACCAATCAGACTTGGGTAACTTGTCCAAAACAATCAGACTTGGGGACTTGTCCAAACCAATCAGACTTGGGTAACTTGTCCAAACCAATCAGACTTGGGGACTTGTCCAAACCAATCACAATTGGGTAACTTGTCCAAACCAATCAGACTTGATTAACTTGTCCAAACCAATCAGACTTGAGGACTTGTCCAAACCAATCAGACTTTGGGACTTGTCCAAACCAATCAGACTTTGGGACTTGTCCAAACCAATCAGACTTGGGGACTTGTCCAAACCAATCAGACTTGGGTAACTTGTCCAAACCAATCAGACTTGGGGACTTGTCCAAACCAATCAGACTTGGGTAACTTGTCCAAAACAATCAGATTTGGGGACTTATCCAAACCAATCAGACTTGGGGACTTGTCCAAACCAATCAGACTTGATTAACTTGTCCAAACCAATCAGACTTGGGTAACTTGTCCAAACCAATCAGACTTGGGGACTTTTCCAAACCAATCAGACTTGGGTAACTTGTCCAAACCAATCAGACTTGGGGACTTGTCCAAACCAATCAGACTTGGGTAACTTGTCCAAACCAATCAGACTTGGGGACTTGTCCAAACCAATCACAATTGGGTAACTTTCCAAACCAATCAGACTTGGTTAACTTGTCCAAACCAATCAGACTTGAGGACTTGTCCAAACCAATCAGACTTTGGGACTTGTCCAAACCAATCAGACTTTGGGACTTGTCCAAACCAATCAGACTTGGGGACTTGTCCAAACCAATCAGACTTGGGTAACTTGTCCAAACCAATCAGACTTGGGGACTTGTCCAAACCAATCAGACTTGATTAACTTGTCCAAACCAATCAGACTTGGGTAACTTGTCCAAACCAATCAGACTTGGGGACTTTTCCAAACCAATCAGACTTGGGTAACTTGTCCAAACCAATCAGACTTGGGGACTTGTCCAAACCAATCAGACTTGGGTAACTTGTCCAAACCAATCAGACTTGGGGACTTGTCCAAACCAATCACAATTGGGTAACTTTCCAAACCAATCAGACTTGGTTAACTTGTCCAAACCAATCAGATTTGGGTAACTTGTCAAAACCAATCAGACTTGGGGACTTGTCCAAACCAATCAGACTTGGATAACTTGTCCAAAACAATCAGATTTGGGTGTATTGTCCAAAACAATCAGATTTGGGTGTATTGTCCAAAACAATCAGACTTGGGGACTTGTCCAAACCAATCAGACTTGGGTAACTTTGAAGTTATTTCAAATATAATTTGACATGTATATGTATTTACTTTTATAAATTTTGACTTGGATGGAGAGTTGTCTCATTGGCACTCATACCACATCTTCTTATATCTATGTAAGAGAAATTCATTTTTATTGATCAGGGAATTTGTTTCATATGAAGGAACAAAGTAATTTTACATAAATAAATTAATCAAGGTTTGCTAGTTTGGGATGGTATGGAATTTTAACCCTGTTGGTAAAGTAATGGACACAGAGTAAAGAAATCCTATCTAGTCCAATGCAACCTGATTTAGTTAACTCCTCCAGCACAATCATACTTGGTTAACTTGCTCAACACAATCAGACTTGTTCTAACTATCTAATAAACCTTCCATTTTGAACATAAATAAAATTAAAAGTTTGCTTGTATTACTTGAGTATCCTCAACTTTATACACATGATCTCTTAGTGATCAAACAAAGCACTAATATCATGAGAGCACATTTACTTTGCTAGCTACCATTATATACACTCACCCTGAACCACTGGCATTACCACAAATAACATAAGTACCAGAATTATCTGGATCTTCATACCAGTTAGCTGCAACAGAGAGTAAAGTCATTACTGCTTGCATGACAACAGCAGTAGGCAGATATCAACACTAATTCTGATTTCTAAACTATACGTAATATGATAAAATGAATAAACTTTCATACTGTTGTATATTAGTATATGTATGTAATACACAAGTGGAAATATGTTTTATACAGGTCACAAAATGATATTCAAATGATCTGACTTTTACAGAACATTTGGTATATCATTTAATCATACTGTCAGATTACTGCTATACAAAACCTTCATGTTTGTTGATTATGGGCATATCATTAAATTAGAAGGATTCACTGTTTACTGAAAACTTCTATACCACATCTTTTTGCATGCACGAAAGCAGATTTACAAATTAAAATTTGATAACTCAAATATATTCAAACCACAACTGTTTGATCTGCAGTAAGTCACTAATTGTATTTTAAATGATTTTCTAAAATAACAGTCCTTCTTTATTCTATAAAGTGTTTTTTTTTTAAACAAAGGTTGCTATTTCTGGCAATGTCAAATATGAATAATTTGAACTGTAGCAAAAAAAAAATAGCATTGATGACCATCCTCTGAGTATTGGTACCATGTAACAATTTCATAGGCTGTACAGTTTCTAACAAGAGAGCTTTTCCAAAATTCAGGCAATAAGAACACATTATTGACCCTCAGGAGCCATGTTGAATTTCAAATCCCAAATCTCTACACCATCTCTGTTGCAGATTATTGAGGGATCATTCTTTGGTACTTTTGTTTCTTTTCAACCAGTAAATTTTAAGAAAAAGCCGTTACAAAATGTCAAAAAAATTATGACAATTAAAAGATAAAGTGATGAAAAAGATTACCAGGACCATAGAAGCTGATATAAAATTGTAAACTTACATGTATTTTTGATCCAATCGTTGTAATAAGCTAAATAATTCAATGAACTAGTCGCATTATAACTTGGAACATCTACAACACACTTTTGTCTTAATACTCCCATATAAACTTGTAATCCAAATAAAGCAAACACAGCTAAACAGAACGTTATCAGGATAATCACTTCAAATAATAACTTGAAAGCCCTAAGTAATGCACCAACTAACGTCTTTAGACCTGAAAACAAACAGACAATGTTAATATATCATACAAAAATATCTCATTGGGAAGATAGATAGCTTGAAGTATTGTTCTAAACACTACTAAAATTTTCAAACTGATTACAACTAAAAATATTCAATATATTTCAAATCCTAGACACAATTTATGTATCTAATATCCTCCAATAAAAAGTGTTCCATTACCATATGGCAGTTGTTTTTCACTTGTTCCGCTGATTGACTGATGATGTTTGATTTTGTCAGTTTTTGTGGACTTCCCCTTTGGGAATTTGTCTTTGAGTTTCTGTATTTTTGTGATACTTTTTTTACTGTAACAATAATTCTACGTTTATCTAGAGACACATTTACCAGAAAGCTCTCCCTTCTAAAGGTTCAGAATTGAATATTTTCTTGTGCTCCGTCTTTTTTAATGTTTTCTTGTGCCCTGTCTTTTTTTATGTTTTCTTGTGCCCTGTCTTTTTTTGTGTTTTCCTGTGCCCTGTCTTTTTTATGTTTTCTTGTGCCCTGTCTTTTTTTGTGTTTTCTTGTGCCCTGTCTTTTTTTATGTTTTCTTGTGCCCTGTCTTTTTTTATGTTTTCTTGTGCCCTGTCTTTTTTATGTTTTCTTGTGCCCTGTCTTTTTTTGTGTTTTCTTGTGCCCTGTCTTTTTTTATGTTTTCTTGTGCCCTGTCTTTTTTTATGTTTTCTTGTGCCCTGTCTTTTTTTGTGTTTTCTTGTGCCCTGTCTTTTTTTATGTTTTCTTGTGCCCTGTCTTTTTTTTATGTTTTCTTGTGATCTGTCTTTTTTATGTTTTCTTGTGATCTGTCTTTTTTTATGTTTTCTTGTGCCCTGTCTTTTTTTATGTTTTCTTGTACCCTGTCTTTTTTTATGTTTTCTTGTGCCCTGTCTTTTTTATGGTTTCTTGTGCTCTGTCTTTTTTTTATGTTTTCCTGTGCCCTGTCTTTTTTTATGTTTTCTTGTGCCCTGTCTTTTTTATGTTTTCTTGTGCCCTGTCTTTTTTTGTGTTTTCTTGTGCCCTGTCTTTTTTTATGTTTTCTTGTGCTCTGTCTTTTTTTGTGTTTTCCTGTGCCCTGTCTTTTTTTATGTTTTCTTGTGCCCTGTCTTTTTTTATGTTTTCTTGTGCCCTGTCTTTTTTATGTTTTCTTGTGCCCTGTTTTTTTTTGTGTTTTCTTGTGCCCTGTCTTTTTTTATGTTTTCTTGTGCTCTGTCTTTTTTTGTGTTTTCTTGTGCCCTGTCTTTTTTTGTGTTTTCTTGTGCTCTGTCTTTTTTTGTGTTTTCCTGTGCCCTGTCTTTTTTTATGTTTTCTTGTGCCCTGTCTTTTTTTATGTTTTCTTGTGCCCTGTCTTTTTTATGTTTTCTTGTGCCCTGTCTTTTTTTGTGTTTTCTTGTGCCCTGTCTTTTTTATGTTTTCTTGTGCCCTGTCTTTTTTTATGTTTTCTTGTGCTCTGTCTTTTTTTATGTTTTCTTGTGCCCTGTCTTTTTTTATGTTTTCTTGTGCCCTGTCTTTTTTTTATGTTTTCTTGTGCCCTGTCTTTTTTTTTATGTTTTCTTGTGCCCTGTCTTTTTTTATGTTTTCTTGTGCCCTGTCTTTTTTTAATGTTTTCTTGTGCTCTGTCTTTTTTATGTTTTCTTGTGCCCTGTCTTTTTTTATGTTTTCTTGTGCCCTGTCTTTTTTTTTATGTATTCTTGTGCCCTGTCTTTTTTTTATGTTTTCTTGTGCTCTGTCTTTTTTATGTTTTCTTGTGCCCTGTCTTTTTTTATGTTTTCTTGTGCCCTGTCTTTTTTTTATGTTTTCTTGTGCTCTGTCTTTTTTATGTTTTCTTGTGCCCTGTCTTTTTTTATGTTTTCTTGTGCCCTGTCTTTTTTTATGTTTTCCTGTGCCCTGTCTTTTTTTAATGTTTTCTTGTGCCCTGTCTTTCATTGTCATGCTTGGGCAGTTAAGCTGCCCTATGCTAGCACACGATATTTGCTTTTTTCTCAGGAATACTGAAATAGGTGCTATTGTCATTATCTATTTTATGTTTTCTTGCACCCTGTCTGTCAATTTTTATGTACTCTTGCCCTGTCTGGCAATTTTTAATAGTATCCCTTTGAAAAAGCCATAAGTTTATTTTACCTCTTTCATAAAATGATTTATAATTTGATTATATTTAATATTTCACAGCTTTAAATATATCAAATTGTTCTATCACTATGCTGTCAAAGCTCTGTCACAGTGTTAATGATTTTCTTTATCTATTTGACCTGTTGTCCACCAGTGCATTGTTCCGATTCATATCCTACACTTTTCTACTTATTTCCCTATTGATTAATGACAAGAAATCTACCTTTTATTCATCTGAATCTCTACCTAATGCTATACCAAAACAACTTGTTTGCTAACTTAAATCAAATTTTCCAATCTGTTGAGTTTTATTGTAGATCTACATTGATTCACTGATTTCATTAAAGCAGTATAAAATGATTTAAGAAATTTGTAATTACGAATTAGACCATGAATTGCTAAGCATTACTTCTATGGACCAATTACAGATGATTATAAAGAACTATCTGATAAAACTACACAGAAATTATCATAGCACTTAAAAAATTTGAATTTTGAAGTGGTCTTGTTTTCATCGGTTACACACTTAGGTCAAAGGTCTAAACTGGAGAAATTAAGTACTGCAAGTATAAATTCTTTATGAAACTAGAGCAAAGAATGAAACAAAATATCAAGACGTTCAAATGATTTAATGTATTTGTCTGTGAAACTAGGGGATTTTTTTCCAAAATAAAGCTTAAGCTAACAGACTAATTAGTACTAAAAAATTTCCATTAAACTGTAATAAACTTCAGCCTAATGTTGTCGTCTGTTGTAGGAATAGAGATCAAGGTTGCACATTGTTGCTTTGTAACTTTGGCTTTGTGTTGAACTCAGTAGTTTTAAGTGAATTTTGATTGTATGGACCAATATCATCCAGTAGTTCTTTGCACACTATATCTTTTTCAAATTGTTTTGATTAAGAAAAATCTTAAACCTGATGAAATTATATGTATAAGTTGGTGCATATTTTATCTTCTTTAGATGAGAATGGTAAAATCTTAAATCAATATTTACCTGGAACGATAGAAATTGTTTTCAATGCTCTGAAAACCCTGAATGTCCTAAGAGCCTGTAGATTTGTCCCAGAGCTACCACTGACTTCAGAAATTATTGTTGTAATATACCTGAAATATCAATAAAACATCTTTTTATCATCTCTTTTTATTGACATTAGAATACTTTTTATCCTTATTAAAATTATTTCTTTGTTTGCGTGAAGATATATCATTTTCTTTACTGAAACATTGACGACAATCAACAAAATAAAGTTGTTTTATACAGCTGTACTTAGCAAATGATTTCTATTGATAGAAATAGGTGTATGGTACTTCTTTTGTTTGATTCTAATACCCCCCTAAACCTGCACCAAAATAAAATAGAAAATATAAATAGGCCAAAAAAAAATCTCTAATTTTTCAAAGATAATTTTTTAAATACCTCATTAGCAATAACAGAGGACATATGTGTGTTCGTTTATTCATCTGTCAATCCAAACTTATTATTCCACAATTTCCTCCGTAACTAACTTACAGATTACAGTAAAACTTGTATGTAAATAAGGAGATGTGGAATGATCGCCATCCAACTTTTAACAATACTACATCTATAACAAACTTACGCTGAAACTATGACAGCAAAATCTAACCAATTCCACGGATCTCTCAGATATGTAAATTTGTGGAGAATAAAACCTCTTGCTAATATTTTGATAATTGATTCTAATGTATATATGGCGAGAAAGGCATATCTGAAATTATAAATACATACAAATAATTGGACTTTTTCAAACATGGCAGTGCATCAAAATGTAAACAGGTAGATTTCAATAATCAAAATAAATGTTCTCTAATTTTGTCAAGAAAGAGAAAAAAAATTAATAATATTATCATATTTTAGAAAGATGATTACCTGTAGTTATATTAACTTTCCCACATGGAGAATGTGTCCATGGGACACAGATGAAACCCACGCTTGCATATAACGTTATAAAGGGGCTTAACTCGAGAACAGTAAAAGTGATGCCACCCAAATTCCATTTTGATCTGTGTTTTGTGGTAATAAGCATTGTGTATAAGTTTCATAACATTTGGTTGAGGCAAACTAAAGTTAGAGAACAGAAACCAATTTTGGGATGTTTGTGGTACAAGGTTAAGTGTTTTGTTAAATAATAAATGATCAACAAGGTCATGGAGAGTTAACATAGTCTTGGTCGACACTGAATGTTATCATAAAAATTATAACCACTGGAATTCCCCATATCATGTCTTCCTGGTTGAATATAGTTTATACTACACTCACTTATATGAAGATGCAAGATGGTACAAAAACAATGACTTTTCCTCTATAAACCTTGTACAAAGATTGATAACATCAGCCCTGTCTGCTCTGTACAATATAATTATGCACATCTAATATCACTACTATTTCACAAATTAATAATATAATAAAAATGATCCAGTTTGTGCTTAATAACCTAACAGTCATTAATGCAAAAGAAAAATAATTTCATCACCACATATCCTTGGGCAGATGTATCAATATAATTATGCACATCTAGTACTACTCCTGTTTCATAAATTGATAATTAAGTAATCAATATATTGAATTACACTTATAGTAAAACTTTCAGATTTTTGACTTGAAAGTTCCTGGGAACTAAAATATACTGTCCATGATCAGTTTACAATAGACCTTCTAACACTAATTAATACATGACAACTTACTCTGCAGTTCGGTATAATCAATACATGACAACTTACTCTGCAGATCGACATAATCAATACATGACAACTTACTTTGTAGTTTGGTATAATCAATACATGACAACTTACTCTGCAGGCAGTTCGGTATAATCAATACATGACAACTTACTCTGCAGGCAGTTCGGTATAATCAATACATGACAACTTACTCTGCAGGCAGTTCTGTTTTATCAATACATGACAACTTACTCCGCAGTTCGATATAATTAATACATGACAACTTACTCTGTAGTTTGGTATAATCAATACATGACAACTTACTCTGCAGTTTGGTATAATCAATACATGACAACTTACTCTGTAGTTTGGTATAATCAATACATGACAACTTACTCTGCAGTTTGGTATAATCAATACATGACAACTTACTCTGCAGTTTCTGCAGCTTTTGAATCTGGTCCCAGGGACATAAAAACACAGTTCGTTAAAATCGTCAATATCACAACATAATCAAAGAACTGATTCGTTGCAATGTAAACTGCCAATTTTCTAACAGGATTCCATGGAGTTAGTAAAAACAAAGCTTTTTCGGAAGTAAATCTGTAGATGAATTTTCTTTTAAATCTAGGTGCTACTGCAATAAATGTCTGAAAAAGAGAAAGAAACATATTTAAATAACTTCAGCTTTTCCATCTAATTAGAAATTTAATATCATTGAGTATTTATTATACATAATACTGCTATAAAACACAGTTTGCCATGAATAATACAAAATCATAATCTTTTAGCTTCATAACCAGAAACACATCATATCTTTGTCTTGGCCTAATGTGTATGCTTCTTGGCCTTAAGTGTATGATTTAATATTGATTTTGCTACATTCTTTTCAAAGTTAAAACCAAGTAAATAAAGGATTCAATCATCTAATTAGCCATGAAAACTCAACTTTGACCAATGAAACCAATTATAGTTGACCTAGTACTCATATGCAGGCTTCTGCTAATAATATCTGAGAAACGTACCTAAGTTCACTTAACTACGAAAACTTAACCTTGATCACTGATTCATGAAGATCAAGGTCAGGTCAACCCTGCCTGACAGACATGTAGACCTTGCAATATTTCTGTAATTCAAATAAAGCATATCTCTAATGATATGCGAGAAAAACATTAAAAATTTCTTTTTTTAAGTAGTTGTGAAACCATGAAATAGAGGTCAAGGACAATGGACATATACCAGATAAAGTTGATTTTAGATGGATATTTATCTTTTAGGTCCTTTTTTATCCCACAGCTCTTCATGTGTTTAGGTAGTTACATATCCTTGGCTTTCCGTTTGCCATTAACTAGAAACATGTCAGCAATCAATAATAATCAATTCATAATATCATAATAATATTCTATCTATGTGGATGCATTCATCAAGGCATATGAATTTTGTGTGAACTTTGGCCAGCATTTGTGAATGGCGGCCGACAGATAATTTTGAACTCCGGGATTCAATAACATATTAAACCTTTATATAAATTTCATTGGTATCCTTAATTGTTCACAAAAAGTAGTTCTTAAAATTTGTGATTTTTTTTTAAAAGAAAACTAACTTTTTGACAAAATGAATTTCAGGAAAAATAATATGCATATCTATCTACATAATTTCATAAGTATTCCAACTATACTTTTGAAGATTTTGTGTTCACAAAATTTGTTGCCAGACAGAAGGACAAAGAGAAAACTGTGGGGCTCCCACCTAAGAATGTCAGGATACTATTCCACATTGACCTACATTTGTAAGAATATATATATATATGTGTGAAGTTTTATTTATCCTTTCACATATTTAATTCAGAACAACCATATTGTGGTGTGAAATATAAGCTTTTTATTATCTGTGCACAATTTGTATATATCCGTAGACAGAAATATAATACACATTTCAAATAGTGGTTACTGGACATTTAAAGAAAACAACAAATTATTATTAATAATAAATTAGAATATTTCTTCATGTATTACAGGTCATTAAAACTATGCTATATAATTATATATGATAGGTATACAATTACTTTCAAGTATCAATTTCATAACTGACATTCAATAGTGTCATGCATTGACATCCATAGTTGAAATCAAAATTGTTGAAGTGGAAATCGTGTAAATCTAAGGTAGAGCTGGGCAATATTGATTCATATACGTTATGATCTCTCTCCTCAGCTCTTAGCAAATTTAAACTTTGACCTATTGTGCATGCAGTTGTAATAAAATTGGTTAACACATGTACAGCTTCTGCGGTATCAAAAAATGAATTGAAACATTTAAAAAACAATGGATTCTAAAAGCAATGATAAATGTCTTATTAAACTTGTAACAATGGCAATCATGATGAACTGTTTAAATGTTCAATCATTCAATCTATAAATTAGGATTATAGGATCCGCTTGAGTGCCAAGTCGATACAGGACTATTTAAATATGTTTTGCTTGACTGAATCGTCAAAGTTTTTGTAACATTATCCATTGGAGAAGATATTGATCAGTCATTATCCGTGAAACAATAAATTGTCAGTGTTAATCGGGTATCAGATCACACATCAATAAGACATATTATACACTTATTACACTAATAGGTCACTGTGCAAACCCTGTCAAACATTGCTGAAAAAAAGCTTTTAAAATTACAATATTTATGTTAACTGTTGTGGTGATAAGAAATTATTAAAGTTCTTTTATCCAACAGGACAAAAATTATTTGCTTTCAACTCTGATCATTATGAAGATCTACAAAAAGACCTTGGTTTAAATTTGAGGGGGTTTATAAAGTTTGAACTTTAAATGGATTTATTTGATTTTCATCTTTAATATTAAATTAAACATTGATAATTGAGATTTATTCTAGCTTTGTAAATATTCCAAACATTGAAACAGAAACAACTGGAAATATAAATAACTTCTTAAAAATCATTTTAAGAAAATTATGTGAAATGAAAAAATACGTCAATGAAAACCACTATATTTATATATGAAAACTTTCAATATAGGATATAATACAGTACAGACCTAGTGCGCTTCAATTGTAAAAACTTGATTAGGGTGTTTCATCTGTACACATTTGATTTTATCTTGTTAAAGTTAGACTTAATCTTCATCCAACTGAACAAAACTTTCAAAAAGTTCATATTAATCAATTTTTGTAGTGTTTTGCGGTCTGTATGTTTGTATTTATTTGGCCATCAGGTGATATCTGTATTTATTTGGCCATGGTGATATCTGTATTTATTTGGCCATCAGGTGATATCTGTATTTATTTGGCCATGGTGATATCTGTATTTATTTGGCCATCAGGTGATATCTGTATTTATTTGGCCATCAGGTGATATCTGTATTTATTTGGCCATGGTGATATCTGTATTTATTTGGCCATGGTGATATCTGTATTTCTTTGGCCATGGTGATATCTGTATTTCTTTGGCCATGGTGATATCTGTATTTATTTGGCCATGGTGATATCTGTATTTCTTTCACCTAAGTATTGGTTTTTGACAGTCCCCTTTGTGCATGATGTCTTACTTTTTCCCCACATTTTATGTTTGATTATTAAAGTGAACAAAAATAAAAGTCAAAGAACCAGTGAAGATATTTGATCTGCACACAAAACCTATCACCTAACTAGAAGTAAATATTTTATTATGAGTTGTAGTTGTGCAGGGTGTAATCTGTTCACCACAAAGAATGCTATGTATCATCATTCAACATTTTATTATCATTTACAAAGGATACATATAAGTAATACATTGTCAAACTTACTTCTTATAGGTCTATGTTTAGAGAGATATATGGCATAAAGGTTCTAATCGTGTCAATGTCAGAACTGTCACTTAATGCCAATTTGTGTACAAAAAACTTCATACACCTCTTTTTTGGTACAGACAATTACTTCTTGATATTTGATTTGGTGAGTTCAGAAAATTGGGGCTCTTTTCACAAATAATCTTAGACTAAAATTGATTGTAAGCTATACTGAAATGTTCATGACTTACAAGTATTTTTTCTCATAGATTTTTTGTGAAATGTTGTCACAGGACTCAAACCCCATTAAGTGTATGTTGTGGTAGTATAAGTCCTAGCTGCAGGGTTGACTTAGATGAGGGGATGGACACAAAAATGTTAAGCTGTTGTTGTGTCTATTCAATTTAACAGTAGTTGGAAAAGTTTATTGATTTATACATAAAAAAATATTACTCAGTAAGACAGTCGACTTAATTTTATGAGGTTTCTAAAAACGTACACAAATTTCTAGGTAGAAATTATATATATAAAAAAATAAACTGCTTCCTATAAGAAGAAAGTAATATTGATTTTTTTATTAAGACATTGTTTTTATCACATTTTGATCAAAAGTAAACAAAACTAGAGGCTCTAAAGAGCCTGTGTCGCTCACCTTGGTCTATGTGCATATTAAACAAAGGACACAGATGGATTCATGACAAAATTGTGTTTTGGTGATGGTGATGTGTTTGTAGATCTTACTTTACTGAACATTCTTGCTCCTTACTACTATCTCTATCTATAATGAACTTGGCCCAGTAATTACAGTGGAAAATACTTTGTAAAAATTTACAAAAAATTACAAAATTTATGAAAATTGTAAAAAATTGACTATAAAGGGCAATAACTCCTTAAGGGGTCAATTGACAATTTTGGTCATTTTGCCTTATTTGTAGATCTAACTTTGCTGTACATTATTGCTGTTTACAGTTTATCTCTATCTATAATAATATTCAAGATAATAACCAAAAGCTGCAAAATTTTCTTAAAATTACCAATTCAGGGGCAGCAACCCAACAACGTGTTGCCTGATTGGTCTGAAAATTTCAGGGCAGATAGATCTTGACCTAATGAACAATTTTATTCTTATCAGATTTGCCCTTAATGCTTTGGTTTCAGAGATATGAGCCAAAAAATGCATTTTACCCTATGTACTATTTTTTAGCCATGTCAGCCATCTTGGTTCGCGAGCAGGGTCATCGGACACATTTTTTAAACTAGATACCCTAATGATGATTGTGGACAAGTTTGGTTAAATTTGTCTTAGTAGTTTCAGAGGAGAAGATTTTTGTAAAAAATTACAAAAATTTACGAAAAATGGTTAAAAATTGACTATAAAGGGCAATAACTCCTTAAGGGGTCAACTGACCATTTTGGTCATGTTGACTTATTTGTAGATCTTACTTTGCTGAACATTATTGCTGTTTACAGTTTATCTCTATCTATAATAATATTCAAGATAATAACCAAAAACGGCAAAATTTCCTTAAAATTACCAATTCAGGGGCAGCAACCCAACAACAGGTTGCCTGATTGGTCTGAAAATTTCAGGGCAGATAGATCTTGACCTAATGATCAATTTAATCCTCATCAGATTTGCTCTAAATGCTTTGGTTTCAGAGATATGAGCCAAAAACTGCATTTTACCCTATGTACTATTTTTTAGCCATGTCGGCCATCTTGGTTTGCGGGCAGGGTCATCGGACACATTTTTTAAACTAGATACTCTAATGATGATTGTGGACAAGTTTGGTTAAATTTGTCTTAGTAGTTTCAGAGGAGAAGATTTTTGTAAAAGATTACAAAAATTTACGAAAAATGGTTAAAAATTGACTATAAAGGGCAATAACTCCTTAAGGGGTCAACTGACCATTTTGGTCATGTTGACTTATTTGTAGATCTTACTTTGCTGAACATTATTGCTGTTTACAGTTTATCTCTATCTATAATAATATTCAAGATAATAACCAAAAAGGCAAAATTTCCTTAAAATTACCAATTCAGGGGCAGCAACCCAACAACGGGTTGTCCGATTCATCTGAAAATTTCAGGGCAGATAGATCTTGACCTGATAAACAATTTTACCCCATGTCAGATTTGCTCTAAATGCTTTGGTTTCAGAGATATATGCCAAAATCTACATTTGACCCCTATGTTCTATTTTTAGCCATGGCGGCCATCTTGGTTGGTTGGCCGGGTCACCGGACACATTTTTTAAACTAGATACCCCAATGATGATTGTGGCCAAGTTTGGTCAAATTTGGCCCAGTAGTTTCAGAGGAGAAGATTTTTGTAAAAGTTTACGGACGACGGACGACGGACGCAAAGTGATGAGAAAAGCTCACTTGACCTTTCAGGTCAGGTGTGCTAAAAAAGCAATAAGAGTTGAGAAAATGGCTTGCTTTAGGGGAAAATTTCCCTAAAATGTCATTGTGATAAATAGATTGGTTTAAACTTTACCTATTAAATTCTTTAACTGCTATGATTAAACTAAAAGCTATTGGATAATTACTATTAATCCAGTTTTATATTCAATATCTATTGTTTAATTTTTAAGCCAAGAAATATTAAAGCCCTGAAAAATGTCATGTACCACCTTGTGCATATTTTGAAAGCAATATAAAATAAGGAGATGTCTACATTTCACAAATTCCACTTTTCCCATATGTTGCTGGTGATACCATGACAAATCAGAAATGTCCAAACTCCAAACCCATGATATTCATATATAACCCGACACCATTCCAAAATTGTAAATCAGTAAATTTATTTTTGTATATTATAATGGAAAGATTTACAGAAATCTTTTTGCATTTAATAAGCAAATTAACTTCCATTACGATTTGTTTTGTGAGAGTCCCTGAATTGTCTGTGGTACGAAAATTGGCCAAACCGATGCAACTTACACAGGAAAGTATACATGGTATAGAACAAAACACAATTACAGATGTGTTCTCTGTTGTCAAATTCTTTAAAGGATACAATGAAGAACCGAAGCCTTGAATGAACAATAGTGTGGGATTGTGGTTCCATTGACAGTTTTGGAAGGTTAGCATTCAATGAAGTACAATACTGTATTGGCTAATAACTTTGCAATCAAATTTTGATTTGGTATTAAAAAATGCCTGGCAACTTTGATTAAAAATCTACTGAATGATGTAAAAAAAAAAACCTGAACCAAGGTTTTTGTACACATGTGATCAGTCACGCAATGCCTTAACTCAAAACAAATTTTATACTTTAAAATTTCAAGTACATTAAACTAATTGAAATTTTTTTTTTATTAAATTATGTTTATTCTAATTTAAATGAAAGTTGAATTTAAATGCAGAAATGTCTTATTTTTATCTATTTAATGTGTAACTCGATCATTAGATATTTTCAAATTGTCAAGGACCATTGTGCCTCACCATTATAAAATAATTTTTTTGAATATTTAAATGTATTTATGTGTAAAACATTAACAAAGAATATGAAAAATGACTTTTCAAAAGCTACTGAAACTTCAAACTTCATAATATTGCATGGTAAAAGAAATTACATAAAAGTTTTTGAATATGACTAATTATTGTTATAATGTCCTTAAATGGTCGTGTGTTACAGGGTTAATCCAATTACTATCTCCAAGAAAAATCAAAACAGAAGTTGAAGCTCTCTTGTTTTTTATTGCACACATATTTTGTGCAGCAAGATCCCCCCCTCCCTCAGAATTCCATACCACCAATGAGGAGAAAAAAAAGGTCATTTGGGCAGTAAATATTACCTATTGATGCATGCTCTTGACCGTTTGATTGTATTAACAGCAATTCAATTTAAAGAAAACTTGCAATTGCTGCCTTAAATTGGTCATTTTTAAACATCTTATTTCTACCACAAATGTGTTTAGAAGATTTGTTTATTTATTTACAGAATGATAAATTCATCACAGCTAGATTTACAATAATGCTGAGTGTAAAACTAATTAATATGACTTAATAATTTTAAAAACAAATCAGCTATAATAAATAAATTTTACTTTAGAAAGTCATTTAATCAACTTGTTCTCAAACAAATGTAAAAAAAAAAAACACTGCACTTTTATTCTATGGTCTGAAATGTCTAAATATGTATATTTCATAGAAGCATTAATAGTTAATAAGTTTCTACAGAAACTTGACTAGAAACTTGACTCTAAATCATTTTACTCTTTTATTAATCAAATGGCAAAGTTCCAGAACATTGACACTGTTGTGTGGAGCAAATGTATGCATAAATTTAATGGATTATAAATTATTAAAAAAGCCCATGGAAAAAATCATTAGACAAAACATTAAATTGTTATAGATCTGCTTCTAGTCTAAGGTACTGATGGAATAATCTATACTATATCTCAATCATACTCCAATCAGTTCATACTCATGAAGAATAAAAAAGGTAAATGTAAATTTTTCCCTTGAAATAAGATGAGTTATAGCTTTTGTAACCTTCACATATGTATATATACAGTCTATACAACACAGCAATCAGTAAAATCTTCTGATTGGTTTCATGCATGGGTCAATTAAAATTGTACCTAGTATAAAGAATTATGGATGATACAATGGTCCCTTAGTATCCTCTAGAATATGTCCTTTGTTTTGTCATGTCACAGATCTCTTCATTAATGTACATGTATGGTCACAAAAACATATTTTGAACTGGGTTTAGCTGGCCCCCAATACTCAAAACAATTGCCTATCTATAACTAGATATAGGAAGATGTGGTATGAGTGCCAATGAGACAACTCTCCATCCAAGTAGCAATTTATAAAAGTAAACCATTATAGGTCAAGGTACGGCCTTCAACACAGAGCAATACTTTCGCAACCAACTACTTAAAAATTGAACATTTGTTTAATAGAGAAATGATGAGTTCCCCAGATATAGGATTTTAAAGGTTGCAAAATTTCTGTTGACTGAACGCGTCTTACAGAAAATTTTGGTTTTGTCATACAGGCTTTTTTTTTCAAGGTGTTTTATCAAAACAAGATAAAAGACCGGCAGAAATAATTCCTAAAACTGCCAATATTATTTAGTCAGGTATTTGGGCAGATTGTCTATTAGACCTGCAGTTATTCTTAAAGGCAGTCTGAACCAATGCCTGTCAGATTATCTGGGAATTTCAAAATGTCTGGGATTGCCAATAGATGTTGGTTACCTTAACAACTGAGAGGAATATTCACAGACAGAAAATATCCTTTAGCCTGGGATCCTGGCTCACTGTACAGTTGACAGTACGTTTCATTTAGAATTTAGTACTCTACATAAAAATGGAAATATTAAACATAACATCCCATGGGACAAATGTCCTTTCATAAGCAAAGGTTCAAGGTTGGAAAATAAAATCTAGCTTATCCTGATTACTTTCATAAAAAGCATTAGCCATGGGTTGCATCTACATAGGTAAATGTACTTCAGGATTAAAAACAAGCATTATAGAATTTGCAGAAAAGATTTGAGATAAAGATAAATTATATCTTATCTAAAAAGAATTTTTCAACATCTAACAAATTGAAGGGAGAAAGGAATTGAAGGAGAAATCACATGCATAATTCATAAAATCCTCATCATTTTATATTTGAAAAAAGAAGTTCACCTCTCAAAATGCAAAATTTTATATACAAATTTAAATTATATTGAAATTCTGTAAAACTGCTTACTTGTGGCATAACTATAAGTTTATGGACTAATATATAAGGACGTGATTACAAATTTTTTTTAATTATTAACATATTTTTCAACTAACTTGAAAATCTTAAAACTCCAAATATTGGTATATATAATGCCACAAGCATTAGTTTTACATTAAATGATATTTCAGAACAATGGATATCTTGGTTATATCTACTAAGCATGCAGTACTGCCTTGGCTCCCAGAAGCAGGACTATTCACTACTAACATGTATATATATATATATATTATATCATACCATACTATATGGAGAAACTAAACTCTGTATAACAAAACAAACTATGATTATATAACATGTAATAGGGTGGCAATTAGTGATACAGTTTTTACAATAGTTTTGCAAACATACCGTGATGTTAAAATGCATGAATGCCTATAGATATCAAAACATGCAGTGGTTTTATTTTAATTCAACTTATATATGACAATTTCTGTCATTGGTAGAGCTTTCTCCAGTGCCAGCATCTAAGATGATTCCCACTTTGAGAATAAGAGTTATAATACTGTGGATTCGATGCCAACGTCATAGATTTTGTGAGTAAAGCAGAACCCAGAATTTAAATGATCAACGAAGTACACATTGTAAGGCGACTTTGGTAAAACTATGAAATGAAATATCAAAGAAAACACAATTTTTCCACAACCCACTAAAATTGGTACCCACAAAAATAAATGAATCTTCAGTATAGCAAGGGCTTTAATTTAACAGACAATGAAAAATATATCTACAAAATGTATATTTATATGTTGACATACTTTTATAATTTTTTAGTTTTCTTTTCATTTACTTTTATCATATTTTTTATTTAGTTATACTTTTTTAATAACTGCATCTTGATTTTATTGTAAGGAGAAGGGTAGTAGGACATATTTTTCAATTTTATTAATACTGCACTTTATTACTTTTTTAATCAAAATTAACTGTAATGATATTTCCTTTTGATTTTCATCTTTTTTCATAAAGCAAAAAGCAGTGCTCACAGTGATGTTGGCATTAACAATGATTGGATTTTTTGGGCTGTTTTTTGTTGTTGTATTTGTCCATCTCTTTAGATCTCTTTACTTTTTCCTATTTAATCTCTGGATAAATGGTCAGAACTGTGATAAAATCTACAGATAACTGAACAGTACACACCAAAATGTGACAATATGAATTATGTATCTATCCCAATCGAAAACCTGTAAATAGTGGACACTTTCAAAAGAACTTGAAAAATTGATGAATAAAGATGAAATTATGTCAGCGTGTTCAGTACATTAACTCTGCATACATGCACATGGCAAATAGATATACTTAAAATTTATACATCAGATCACATTAAAATAAACATAAGCAAAATGTGACTTGGTCTTAAAATATAAACATATATGCAAAAAGTGACTTAGTTTTAAAAAATAAACATAAGCAAAAAGTGGTTTGGTCTTAAAATAAACTGTTTGTGTAAAGTTGCTATGTGTGTGTTTTCTGAGGATTATTTTAATCATATCATACGTACTAATAATCCTGAAAAGATTTAATTTATGTTTAATTCCGAGCAATCTCAATCTACTTACCTGTTTATAATTAAACCTTGATTAAAGATCTTTGTCACGATAATCTACACTTTTATATAATCCATAAAATAATTTCTTTACTTTATTCATACCTTGTCTTTCATATATTTGTCTATTTCTTCTATAGGTTTTCCTAGTAATTTATCATCGAAAACATCTGAATATTCCACGGGGAGCAGATTTCCTTCCACCAAATTCGGATCTCGGTCCTTTTTAGCTTCCTCTTCGTCATCGTCAAATTTTAATTCCCCGTCTACGAGATGAGCTTCAGCAACACCTCCTGTTTTCTCGAACTTTTTCTGAGCTGCTGCCGCCTGTTCCACTTGGTTTTTCCATGATTCTTCTGTATACAATTTAATTCGCGATTCAGGGCGTTCATCTGGTTCTTTAGGGGGCTCAGGCTTACCAGCTAAAGCAAAAGCTGCAGTTGCAAGATTAGCACCAAAAGGGTCTTTTTTCTTGACTCCATCATTTCCACTGGCAGCCATATCAAGAAATCCACAGTATTATTGACTTCACTTCACGATTTTACGTTGTTAAAATCCCAAACATTTTATTTTAGATGGAAACTTATAAGGCTGCATTGCTGCATTTCGTATTTACTGGAGCCTGAAGAAAAAAACAAATAAGAAAATAATATCGAAAGTAATCTGTGAACGGTTTCAGTGTTGTCATAATGTTAACAGCTTTTAGATTCCGACATGTCGACGACACTGCCAAGGCTAGGTCACGTTGTTTGTCCGAAATCTTGAAGATGTTCACGATGAAGAATTACAATAAAAAAAACTCTGTAAAATGTATCTTTATATAAATAGCGATTCGAAATAAATTTGTACATTTTCATTACTCAACAACCTACCACCACATGTTCACCCTAAACAGTCCTCAAATGGACGAGCACCGAACACCGTTTTATAAATCATTTCTTGTCTAGAGAAGTTGCGTTGGACTTGTGTCTGTGCTTTAGGCATCGGAATCGTACGACGCGTTTTGAGATGCATCAGAGACCCTGACTTTGGACATTAATAAAACGTGGCGGCGTTTAACTAGGTTTGTAAATACTCAACCCTATCCCCTTTGTTGAAACAGATGGTTAGTCTATAATTTGTATACCCAACAACCAAAATCTATTGCCTTTCATACAAACCATTTTACCTAATTCAAATAGACAAGACTTAAGTACATTTTGTATTTAATGGTAACTATGTGGTAAGCATTTCAATAATTTTATGACAGTATTGCATACGGCAAAACACGGAGGGGACAAGGGGATAACTTGCTCACCCTAAATGGCTTGGACACCCGTCAAATTGTCAGTAAATAAATACATTAAGTAATTGTAATCATTAAATATTCTAAAAATAACTAATTTCATCATTTTATAGTTATTTTATGTTTATTTACTTGCACTGCCATGTTGTTTTGTTGTTTTATGGTTCTATATGTTTGCCTCTTAACACACAAACAAACATTCACACTCACTCAAAAGTTTATACACTCCGCCGTTACTGTACTATCAGGCAATATGAATACTTTTGAAATACTAAAATTCGATTCCGACTACACATTATACAATTATTCTTTTATAAATGAATATAAATATAAGTTTACACTTTGTCTTACCTTAGTTATTTGTAAAGAGTATTTAGTTTACTATAAAAGTAATTCCAAGTTCATTTAACATATATGAATTGGCAGTTATCTCGACGTTTCTTTAATTTATTATCCAAATCCGAATTACGTAAATTATGGAAAAAAATATATATTTCTGGTAAATATGTTGTAATATCCTTTAATATCTCTTTTGTTAGGAATGTCACTGCTTAAAAAAATAATGATTTTTAATGGATTCCAGCACTCAATTCTTATCCCTGGATATCCAGGCTATAGAAACTTTTTAACTTTGCCAAATGATGACGTCAGTTCAATATATGTATTCCATTGTGTAAGAATAATACCATCCGTTATAAATTGATTTCACGGGTGACTGATGATTAAAGACAATTAATAGATAAACTAGTAAGATTGTGTAAAAGAAGACATGGACTTCTGCGAAAATTACATATATATTCCACCGCGACTGTCTCCCGTTTCACTCCTTTTAATCCGACTTTAATAATGGAACGTTTGTTGTTGAGAAAATTAAACTCGACAAATAAATGAAGCTTAAGTATTTTAAATCTGAAAAGATATATTATAGTATATAAAAGTAGTCCCACAATAGTATACGGTCGAATAGTTTTGTTCTGTAGGATTTATATGGAATTGAGAGTATTTACCCAATGTTTTGGACACGCCATTTAAAATTGATCACAACTTGTACAAATACCTACATTGGAAGTATAACTAAACAGTCACAAACAAAAATCGTTAAGCTACTATTTAATTTGAAAAAGCAGAACTAATTAAATCGTTATTGAAGTTAAAACTGTCCTATTTAAACATATGAAGGCCCTCGAATTCCATAACTCTTATCGACGCAATTTTATTTTGACGACGTTCTAAAGTCGCCATCGAGAAAGATCTCTATGCAGCATAAACATACATAAGCAATTAGATGTCGGTGCATATTCAAAATATACAAACAATGCAGAGGAATAATCACCTGTTAATGAAATTGATTTATTAAAAATTGGAATAAATATTGTATTTTTTCTTAAGGTTTCCCTTTTTACTTCCCCGAAAAGAAAAAAAATGAAGCATCAAGTGAAAGCTGGCAATGTTGTCAATCATATTCTGATTCTGATCAATTCTGATCATGCTGCTTGGATTGGTGGGGTCTTCATTTTTCTATTCTATATTTGTCTTGCCCCATTAATTTCTATGCTATAGGTATATTGTAGCATCCCATTCATTTTCTATCCTGTACTGTTTTGGGGCCCCATCATTCTCTATTCTGTAGACCACACCCAGACTCTCGCAAATGAGTACAGTTCGTCAAAATATAAATACATTAAATTTTGGTATTGTAGTCTTTTTATGAACAAGAGTGAACACGCTGAAATGTCTCCCCAGCTTTACTGACGGACATGTAAACCTTACAATCATTCCATAAAAAATATAGTTGACCTATTGCTTATAATACTTGAAAAACAGACCAAAGCACAAAAACCTGAAACTGACCAATACGCCTTTAATAATGAGGTCAAGGTCAGATGAAACCTGCCAGACTGACATGTACCCTTTACAATCATTCCATATACCACTTATAGTTGACCTACTGTTTATAGTACATTTTGTATCTCAGGTTCGGACCTAATCACGTGACTTTAACTTTGATGATGATCACTGATCCATGAAATGACGTCGAGGTCAGAAGAACCCTGTCTGACGGACATGCACTCGTTGCAAGGAACCCATACACCAAATATTATAATCCTATAAGTGAGAAATTCACACGACAAAAAAAAAATTTCAAGCAGTCACTGAACAATGAAAACGAGGCCAAAGATAATGCACATATGACAGACGGAAACTTCGGAACATAAGGTATCTGCATACAAGGTATGAAGCATTCAGATCTGCTACCTTCTGAAATATAAAGCTTTATTCAAATAGTTTACATTGCCGCCGCCGCCGGATAGTAATCCCTATGTCGCGCATACAGCGATTTTCGTCGCAGGGGCGACAAAAATGGAAGACTAACGTGCTCCAATTAACAAAGCAACTAAAATCTTTCAAAACAAGATGTTTGCAGTCATTCATGAAGTATGTGCTCTAGGTCATTTATGAATCATTTCAATTTTGAAAGTAATTGCACGTAGCTGAAACATATTTGAATTTGTAAAAACTGTGCTGAACACATTAACGCATGAACGAACCGGAGTTGCTATACCATAAAGAGGAAGGACATATTTCCCCTGTAGGTTATTGAACTAAAGGATCATAAAAGTACGTCTTTACTAAAATGCATAGTAGTACATTGCTTTGTAGTACCAATGCTTCGTCTGTTTAATTTTAGAATTTAGCAAGGTATATATTGGTGTATTTTTCGAACACGTAGAATAACCGTCTCTGTTACTTTAAAATAAGTATTTGCTGCTTCTCCGATAAGAGAGCGGCATTAATATACTCAGAAGAATGTGTCCGGGTAGGCTGACATGACTTCTTGCAAACTGTTACCTTGTGAACTATCACGTTAAAAATAAAAATTCGGCTCAACGTGACGGTCTAGTACATATAGCAGGGTTTAATACTCCTGTTCTCGTCCTGAATATGCATTCAATTTGCCACTGGACGTTAAACAGCTATCCATTATCATCGAACTTTTGACCATATAATAAATCTCTAAAGTTGGAAAAGGACTGCTGTTTTGATAAATTTTCGCAAATAATGAGTATTTATCCAAAAAAATGAATTAGATTAGTTGAAAATTTTGCTTCAAGTCCAAAAAAACATTCCTATCAAAACGACCATTCTATCAAATTCCTAGGCTATGGATATGAATAGTAAACTGCACATTGCTAGTAAACATACAAATCTTGATGCCAAGGTAAAAAAATACAATGATTTAAAACATGTCATGCCAGCAAAGCGAGATCCTGTGATTTCTCATACACGAAAAAGTACTAACCCTCAAACAATTTTTTTATGACTAAATTTATATATTTCTTTCCAAATACTTTCGCTTAAGATAAAAAAAAATCAAATATTTTTACAAATGATTATGGAATACATTTTACAACTCCAAATGTAAATAACTGTTTGCCTTGTCGCGAATTCCGATCTAAATAATTTTCAAATGTAAATGTAGGTTAAATCATAGGGACTCGGATAGCGGAAATGTTTTTTTTTTTTCAATCGTTGTAATTTCAATTTGTTTTTTTTCCTTCAAATTCCTGTCTTAGTTGTAATAAATTATTAGCGTAAGCACCTATATTTGTATATTTTCTAGCAAACTGCAGTAAACTATTTATGAATGTATACTGAAAAATTTCAGTTTATTTGGGCATTGAAAAACAATTTCTTTATTAAAAAAAAACATTTCTTCATTTTGGTAAAAAAAAAACTACATTCGATGCAAAATTTTACAAAAACATGTAAAATATGCAGCAGTATATCATAATTGACATCAACAGCAATGTTTATGCTGCAGAACATTTTAATTTATACTAATATGTATAAAATTTTTGATTTTTTTTAATTATATATATAATTAAAAACACCTTGACATTTGTGTTTCGCTAGGTTTTATCAAATTTGGAATCTAGACCTAGTGACGAAACGCAAGCAAAAGAACTTTGCATTACCCTTATCAGGCAATACCTTTCCAATTTCCACCCTCTGAATGAAACTAATACAAAGGGAATGTCAATTCCCCTTTCCTAAGTATCACATGAATAAAGGTTCAATTGATCAAATTCGGGGATATAGAGCTGGTTGGATAAGAGTCTACTCATCTCCGATTTCCTGATAGTGACCTCTAAATATTTCATTTCTGATGACGTTAATATTATTGGTTGTCTCCTCGTTTCTTGCGCAGTCAGCGCAGTCGCTTTATATACATATTTATGATTAACAACACAATATACAAATATATATATACTTCGTGTATTGTGACAAGATGTCCTTGTTTAATGCATACGAGAAGGTAACACCTCCCGAAACGAAAACTGATTTTTATCAGCTATAGTTAGAGGAGGGGATAAGGAGTCTGCGCAATGCTAGGCGGTGTTGTCGTATAAGTGATAAGTGAAAAGTACAGGTTCAAGCCCCGCTATGGGAGGAAGTAAGGAATCAGATCTACTCTAACACATCTTCGCTAGCCAAGGGTTACGATCCACTTCCCTCCTCTTCACGTGAAGAGGAGGGAAGTGGATCGTAACCCTTGGCTAGCGAAGTGAAGAGGAGGGAAGTGGATCGTAACTCTTGGCTAGCGAAGATGACTCTAACATTGTTTTGTTGATTTTCTAGGCACTTATATGAAAATTTGTTCAGTATATGTATTATATTACTCATCTTATTTGAAAATGCTATAATATACAATTGACTGAACAAATTTTAAAATGCTATATTTTTTATATAACTGGTACATTATTAAGTCAGGGATTTCATTACCACAAAATAGTTTATTTTTTTTGACTTATTTCTTTCATAGATCTAAAGATTTTGTTTTTAAATTCTTATAAACAAACGTGGTATCACATCTTAATTTCCACGATGATGCACAGTTGTATATAAGGCCTGTAAATTTAGATACAATCCATGTTAACTCATGAAACATTTTGATAAACTTATTCTTAAAGGTTATCAATTTAAAATCGTATAGAAGTTCTTTGAATTTTGTTTTTAACGGTACTAAAATTGATTAAGTTTTTGAAAACTTAAATATAACTAATATAAAAATAAGAAGATGCGGTGTGACAACTCTCCACCAGAAAATAAATGACGTAAATATAAACATTTGTATTTCTATACAAGTATGGACATTTTTGGTCCTACATCCTGTCGATACTATGTACTTATATTTTGGCAATTGCACACAGTCATACTTTTCTCGGACTACTTGTGACGTCTTTACACTAAATCCTTCTGGTGTGTACTGATTCATACTTTCGTATGTTAGAAAATGGATTATTTGTTTGCTATTATTGGCTATGAACTAGCTTAACCAATGGCTGCGAGTACTCTCAGTTCGGTACTTTGTCTCTTTTGTCTATGTGTTAGTTAGTTTTTGTGCTTCTTGCGTGTCTGGTAAATCAGACCATTTCCAATTGAGTTACACTTTATGTTGTGCTGTAACACCCCTGTCGAAGGTTAGGGGGAGGGTTGGGCACTCAAAAAGATATTCTTTATGTACCTGTCCAAAGTCTGGACCCTATATAATTCAGTTGTTGTTGGTTGCAGTGCGACACGTTTGATTTTATTTATTGTTTTGTCATAAATCAGGCCCTTGTTTTCTTGTTTGAAGTGTTTCACATGTTGTTATGTCGAGCGGTTTATATAGCTGACTATACTATATGCTCATTGTTGATGGTCGTACTGTGACCTATAATAAGTAGTTGCTTACTTCCACGTTATTCGGTTCTCTTATCCACATTTCTTTTTTTTTATTTAGATATGCAAAAAACTGGATTGGAACAGCAACCCAACAATAAAAGACATTTCCATAAAAAATTCAATTGGTCTTCAACAATCAAAACAGATTTCAAACTAAACTTCGAATCCAACCGAAAATTGAGAATCTCTTAAGA